AGAAACATTAATTAGATGTGATGAAAGTTGGAACAATGAAGACAGGGAGGAAATGGTGTCAAGAAATTAGAACCTTTAAAACTTGTGGTAACTGCAAAGCGTCAGATTCCAGAGAGATTTTCAGAGGACTTGTTCCTCAGTCTCTGTGTTTATTAAAGGGTTGCTGGTCAGGAGGAGATTTTACTGAGTGTCTTCCAGCCTCCGGTGAGTCTCCTTCCTGATGCTGAGCTTTTGAATAGCTGTTATTTTCTATCTTAGACTGAAATAAAGCTGTGCAAAGTTAGGCCAGAAGTCACTATGAGCCTGGATTCCAATTGACTTAAGCATGACTATGAATGGGTCTGTAATCATACAATAAAACCTTCTGAAGCATTTATTTACTGTTTCCATCGTCCTTTGACCTCTGGTGAACTTCTGGAGCGGTCTATCAAGGAAAGCCATGCTCCATTCAAACTGTAAGCGCTGTCACTGAAGAAAATCATCAGTTTTATTCATTCAATTTAGTCAACTGTTTGTTTTTATTCAGCGGATGGGGAGGATTATCTGGGCTTGTTTAGTAGCTTCTGGACTTCGAGTCAACCCTTATCTCCAGTGTACAAAAGTTTTCTGAAGTCAAATGTGAGACCATTAGCTAAAGTGTGCACTCAGCCATGAGGACAATGACTCCAAACACAGCAGAAGATCTGCAACAGATGCGAGAAAGAAAAAAAGATCTGTGAGAAACTTTGTTAGCAGGCCTCTGCAGAAACTTAAACTAGCCGATGGTGTAGTTGGACCATTAATCTGTGTTAGAGCAGAGACACATGTGCGAAAACACATTCTGTGGTACTGCAGTACAGTTCATCCAGTGCAACACATTATTGTGATGGTTTATTTGGTATGGTATTGCATATACTATACTATGCTTATGTCTCGTCTTGACAGTATGCAAATTGCGTGTTTTAACATTATTCATTCCATTATTCATTAACAAAATTCCTGCTATAGTCAGAGATTTTATCTGTCATAGGAAAATTCCTGAGGCTCTGTGTGTACAATTAACACTCCACGGTAGCGTAGGTTCAGATGTTACATGTAACATGTCAACTGTCAACCCTTATCATGTCAATACATGTAACATCTGATTGGAAGAGAAGCGCTGTTACTATCCACCCCATGTGGTGATATGAGTGATAATTGTCTGTGCTGATAGATTTTCACCAGTCATCAGACAAAGCCGAATGTAGAATGACCCAACATGAAGCAAACTTTTCAGTGTGATGGATTGTCAGGCATTTACATGCTTGTCTTGGTTATGTAATGTTATCTTAATAGGGAAACCAACCCATAATTTATCTATTTCCCCAAATCTAAACACTATGCTGCATTTGACAGAAAAGTACAAAAGCGCAAAATCTTACCATGTAGTTTTCATCTAGTTTCTAGTGCAAAAATCTCAGCACAGTTGAAATAATGCAAAACTAACTTAGAAGTAACTTTACATCTTGTTTTATGTTAATAATTCTTGAAAATTGATGAGGTCAGCAGGGATTTTGGATGTGGAACTCTTGAATTTATGCCATTATGGTCTCTTTGTTTAATTGTTAAATAATGAACTCTGATCCTAACTGAAGTAAGTAAATTGTCTGGTGCTTCAGGTCTCTTTGTGACTTCCTGGTGTGTTATTGGAGAGGAGTTGGTGTTCCCCTGTTTTCTTCATTTAAGAATAATGACTCTCACTTTGGTTCATTGTGGTTCACATTATCAACCACATGTATATGTGGTACAAAAAAATTCTTCACCAGACTGATAGATGTATCTGGGATCTGTTCTCTGAAGTCCTAACATTGGAATATGATATGATGTTTCTTGACCTACTTATATATATATGTATTTTAACAGATTTGTTAAAACTATTACTATGTTGTAACAGATAACCTGTGAAACAATTGAATTCCTCAAACCACCACCAACTAGAAACACTTAGCCAGGAGGAGGATTTTGGAGTTGCCAATCATGCTTGGATACCAGCTGCTCACAAAGTTGCCCTCCTCCCTCTAGATATTTGTTATGCAACAGCATCTTCCCGGTAGCAGAATCTGCCAGGAATAGTAAGGCTTGGAATGGCCATGCCATCATCAGTGGCAAAAACAATTAGTTGTTTATCCACCGTTAACACATGTAGCAGCACATACATGAGATTAATTGACAGCACTAAGACCCCCCTCCTGGCTCTGATTGTCCATTTTTGACCTGGAGGGGTCAATAGAAGCTCAGGAGGAGGTGAAGGAGATCGATCTTTTCACATCTTGTCTGTCTCATACGGTCACAACATGGTGACCGTTTTAGCAAACAAAAAAAGGAACCAGGAACAAGATGGTGAGGTGTGATACATCCCACCCATCGCCATTGCAAGCTAAGCAAATTACATAACCTGGCAAGTAAAACAAGCTTTTAATTTATGGTGCACGGGTCGTATTTCTTTTCAGAGTTGAGCCTTTTTCGCACCATAATCTGTTCACAACAGATGCAGTGAATGGGAAAACTTGGACAAAATTTGACAGGGAACAACAGCAACTGAACAGCGAGAGCAAATGATTGTGGCTCCTCACTTTGGAAGGTGCATTTTACTCCATTGGACAACACACCCTTCAGGTAGATGAGCTGTATAACTGACCATGCTGATCGACTAACACCCTATCAAGAGCAAATGCTGCTATTTTTTTGTCATCCTGTGACAATTCATGCCAATAAGTCTATTTGTGTGTGAGTGCATCTCAGGTTTTGCCTCCTGTGTCATTCTCCTTCCTGCTCCTAATCTCCTGAGCTCCTCTGGAGAACAGCGGGTGAGCAGATTCTATTTCCTGCTTGATTCAATATTAACAGATCCGGGTGCTACTCTGAGATGCTTTTTGCAGGGTAAAAATGGAAACCTGACGCCTCGCTGTTTCCTCATCTCTTAGTGTTACAGCTGTTTGTGCAGAATACAAAGGCTTTGTGAATGTCAGGAAATGACCAAGAGACGAGATATGTAAAGGAAAACCCCAAAATAAGAGTAACAGGAGCAAGAGAGTGAGCAGTCTGCTGTTACCTGGGTTGTGATGTACTGGAAAGTGAACTGGAATGAAGGTTATCAGAACAGTGGATTGTTGCATTAAGATACCTGACAGTGGCGGCTTTTCCAGTGCGCAATAATAATAATAATAATAATAATAATAATAATAATAATAAAACAACACAATTTTGCAACTACTGTGTTTCCACTACATAGAAAACACAATTAACATTACATGTGAATAAGTATGCTCATGCGATAGGTCATTAAAGAACATGCTGCCACATATTATTGTCTTTTTTGTCTTTTCCATCAACAGTAACATCCAGCTGTTTATCACATGATTTTGTGTGATGCAAAAAAAAAAGTGTTTTCTTTGCAGTTTTGCACAATGCACTAATTTTGACAAGTCCATCTCATCCTACTGTGAAATCTTTTTTTTTTTGTTAATAAAAACTGCCATGTCTCCACAAAGCAGATTTATTTCTGTGATTCCAATTTGCACTGGAAACGAGGTGATTTGAGCTGAGGTCCTTAAAACTGAGTCTGTAACAGTATATGAAACTCACTATACATGTACAAATCAATCCCCCACACTATGCTGATGTAATTTTTGCAAGCATGTTTTGCTATTCCAGAATTCAGTTTTGATTGTGTGCAGTTGCCCACAAAATAATTTAGTCAGGACAGTTTAAACAATTAAATAATCTAGTATTAAACCTTTTGTCCCCCAAATTCAACACTAAATCCTATTTTTAATGACTACTGTCATCTGGAAATGTTGTTCCCCTGGTTTGAACCACCTTTCTGCTTCCCCCACATCCCCCTTCGCCCACCATCCTCCATGAAGTTGTTGGGTGCTGTTGATATTCAGAGCCTCAGGCTGTAAGAGGGTGGGAAGGGGGGGTTTGGGGAGCGATGACCCATTTCACTCCCCACAAGATGCCACCCTGGATGGTTGCCCATGTCGCCTCTATCAAGAACCACCACTGACTATCAGGTTTGTAGAACTCCTTGTTTTCAGTTCTACCTGCCACATTTCTGTGGAGCTGAGGTCAGGGCTTTGTGATGGTCACTCCAAGGCATTTTTCTAGTAATTTGACAGTATGCTTTGGGTCATTGTGCATTTGGAATACCGATTTGTGGTTAGGTATTTGATGCCTCGAGAGTTTCACTTTTATCTGACACGTCTGTTTAAAACATCTTTTTAAGGGATCTTATGCAATATTCTAATTAAGGCTGAATTTTCTGGTTATGTCCTGTAAGCCTTAATAAGCATCAAAATTACAAAGAATAAATGTTGTAGATAGTGTATGTATGGTTTAGTCACCACAATGAAGAGCCTCCAACTTAATAAAAAAAGAAAGAAAGAAGAAAAAAAAAAACAATAACAAAACTTTGCTGTCCAAAGTAGCGCTGTAGATGTGAGGATGCTGGACTGCTGCTGAGCCAGGACTGTTAGAGCTGAAGGGGGCTGAGCCTCGGAATCTCTGGATAGAAATGCTTCAAACTGAGCGGAGTGTTAACAGTGAAACGTTCATGTGAGCGATACCTTTCGTGAAGAAGCGGATGGTCTGGTGCGATGATAAACCCCACTAAAACAGGGAGCGGAGAGCCGCATCTTCACGCAGACGTCCTCGTGTGACTTCAGAGGCTTTTCATGGACTTTGTTGAGCTGCTGCGCCCGGGAATCTCTGAAGACTTTCCTCGCAGAGCTGCTGACTGTCTGAAACGGCGCAGTCATGCTGGCCCTGTTCTGCTCAGTGGACTGAGGACCTCCACAGATGTTCCCAAAATGTGTCGGAGCGGAAGGGAAGCGCGCCTGCTTCAACCTGTGCATGATTTTATTTGAGGAATCATCAGTTTCACGCCCTCGGACTCAAATAAAAAGAAAGGTAACGTCCGCGGACTGTCACTAATTTACAGTGAATTGTGGCGTTTGAGGACAAGACGTCTTTACGTTCAGCTCGCAGCTGAGGTTGTGGTTTAATTTAAGGGTCTCTGGTTAGCTGTTGTGTTTTATGTGGCGGACCTCGGCGTGGGCCATACATGTGGACTTTTTCTCAAAGAAATTCTGAAGAATTTTTCTGTCAGCTGAGAAAATGATCTTCTGGAACATTGTTTACGTAGAAGGCCTGCCCGGTGGTTCAGGCTTGCGCTGTGCCAACGTAGCGTTGTTAGCATAGCGGTTAGCTAACGCACAACGGTCGCCCCGCATTTTCCTCCTTTTTATTTATCCAAACTAATATTTGTGTGTCACACAGACATGGTAACAATGAACAGGCGGAGCACGACACTTAAAATACGAGTCTTTGTCATGACTTAAAATTGGCTGCTTCTTTTTGTTAGACCGTGAAGTAAGTTCCCGTTATGTTTGCTTTTGCTAACGGACTCGGAATGTTTTTCAGGTAAATGGCTGAGACTCTGTTTTGTCTTAAACTGTAAAATTTCAGAAGAGCTAAACATCGTGTGGGAACTGAACAACAATGTGGCTGTTTTTCTATAAATATTTCTTTTTCCTGCGTTCCTTCGGACGTCCCCTCACAGACGGGACTTTTAAATGTTCTTTACAAGAAAAGGGTACGTTGAAAAATAAATACACGAGTAAAATGATGTGATTAGAATTTTCACGTTACCTATAAAACAAAAGCAGCAAAATGGTTTTTGTTTTAGTACCGATCCAAGAGTTGATAACTATATTTTCAGTTTTTGTGGATCTCATATTTGTATTAGTGTTGTTTGAACAGCTGATGAGCAGAGAACCTAAATGACCCCTGAACATGGAGCACAAAGGTCTCTGACCCCAAGCTTTTAGACCAGAGGTTCCCAAACTTTTCAGATTTTCTGCATTTACAAAAGATTTAAAACAAAAGTGTTTTAACTTAGTTAAACGTGAGTTGTCACATTTAACTGTTATAAAATTTCCTTTTGAAGCTAAAATAGTATAAAATGAGGGTTGCAATTATGTTTATAGGTTTTTTCTGTTATTTTATAGAATCAAGAAATTTACTCTTCTGAGGAATAATATTTAATTCATTAGGTAACTATGTTAACTGGTTGGTAGAGCTTCATTCAGCTCCCTAACAGACACATTATTTTTGCTTCTTGGTGAATGTTCTGCCTTTTAGTGGGTAGAGTAAGGTACTTTCCCTTGTAATAATCGTTTTAAGTCAAGTTTGCAACCTTAAAATACATCCTTCCCCCTATAACAACTTCAAAGGATATTGTGCTTGCATTATTTTCAAATAAAACAAGTGAAATTCTGAATAAGCTTTAAACAAATAAATTATGTGAACTTGACTGTCAGATTAAGCATGCTTGCAAATCAGATCAGTTATTTCTTGTTCTAGAGGTACGTTCAAGAAACATTAATATACCATTTGGGTAATGCAAAAAATTCTACTTCTCTTTAGGTTAAATAAAGCATGACATCGTTGGATTAATACATTTTCAATAGACACTAAATTTAGGGAAAGACTAGCAAAGGCCTTAAATTCAGGGTATGTATTTGACGTTAACCTTGGAAAATCTTCAAAGTTTTACCACAGGGAGCGAGCAGGTTGTTGCATAATCACTAACCATCAAACTGGAGCCAAAGACTCACGGATCATTTAAAGCTATGTAATTGTAATGGGGACAGGTTTATTGTTTTTCAGTTAGGACTGTCATTTTTCTGATGGCTAATTCTGAAAAAGCAGTTCTGTCTTCTTTCTCATAGTCTGAGCTGGTTGCAAGTCTTAGAGCAGCAGGTGTTTATCAGTCATAGTGGATGTTCTTCGATTCATGTGAGAGAATGCAGACTCTCACAAACGAGTGCATCCAAAAAAGAAAAAAGTTTAAAGCCCAGTTTCTGATTGTAATTTTCTAATGGCTTCCAGAGGTGTTGGCTCAGACGAGACGTGGTCCTGGATTTGATTTAGTCATTTGCAAGCGTTAGCATCTTATTTTCAACAGCAGACCTATCCAGGATGAGAAGCGTTGTTATTTTGGACGCTTCTCAAAATAACGAGCAATCCTAATGTTTCAGAGCAACTTTAGTATTGTTGCTCTGCTGTGCAATGACTATTCTTTTTTTTTTTTTTTAAGTTTCTTTGTCAGCCTGCTGCTTATATATATTTTTTTGTTTAATAAAATTTCTGAGTTTTGTGCAATTGCTTTTTTTGTTACAAGTTAATTTTCTAAGCTACATAAAAGTAATTAGAAATAAAATTTGGGTCAATATTGGTGCTGCTGATATGGCAGAATTGACCAATATTTTTTTAATTTGCTTGATTTAATCATATGAATTTATTATTTTGATTACTACATGTCTAACTCCATATCTAAACCTATATTTCTGCCATGGACTACAGCTGCTGGTGTAATTGAGTGAATTGTTGATCTCTGTGTTCGTTCTTCCGTCTTTTGTGCATGAAGCTGCACTAAACGACTAAGGACCTGCGGCCATATGGTGGGACGGGTCTGCAGGTGATGTCTGTGGTGATCACTGTCTCAGTTCTGTTCATGTTTAATTCTATTTAGTGTAGAACTGCATTTGAAGCAAAGTCTGACCGGGGGAAAAAAATCTTGATGATATTCCAGTATGCTGTGCAGGATATAAAAGTTTTTGCAGATCTTTGATTTTCATTACCTTTAGTTACACTTGGATAAATGTTGCATGGAGTTATTACTGTTTTAATTCTCCACACATGCAAGGGCTGGCTTTGAAGAGTCTACAGTCTGATAGTCAAATTACCTTTAGCCACATCAACAGTTTGCCACCATTTCATTTACCTGAATAAATACCTGGATGTTCTACATTTTATCAAGAGGCTCAACAATTCCATGACATAAATTTTTATATAACTTAGGACATTTAGTCTTTTAGCATACCTTTTTAAGTTTGACAAATTAGTTGTGTGTGGTGTGAACTGTATTCAACAGTTTTTGTGTTTGTTTTTAAATATTAAATCAAAGTTTTTGATCAGTTACTCAGTAATTGAGTAGCTTTTACACCAAATAATTTTTTACTCTTGAGTGGAAAATAGCTTTCCAAGAAATTATTTAAGTAAAAATATGTTGAAGCAGAGCTACTCTTGAGTACAAGGTTACTCTGCCTATGATGCATCCCTTACTGGTTATTTAATGCCAAGAATAAACCCAAACCTCTTTTCTTGCTGTTTTGAAGTTGTGCTCACTATTGTGTTTCACATATTTTAAAATAATTCTTTGTCACAATAGAAAGAGGAAAGTCAGGAAGCAGACATGAGGCCAGCAGCTGGGATGATGATGCAAGTTTTTCTCAGTTAAGGAAAAATTATAACTTGCTGAGAAAAAAATGTATCTGCTGCAGGGAGAAATCAGGCAGGAATCAGGACAGGGTTTTAAGAGATTTCAGACTGTTTTGTCGTCCGTCATTTTGACTGACGGCCTCAGAAATTTAGCATCATGTTTTATTTTACCGGGGAGGTTTTAAATAATATTAGCATTTGCTATTCAGTTGCACTTAATTTTTATGTGGTTTACTTAATATTTAGTAAGTTGAACAGAGAATCCAGATCCCATCACACAGACAAACGTATCTGTTTCTCTGCAGTGATTAAAAACCACTGAAAGAACAATGACAGGGTCTCTCCCAGAAAACCTGCTGAGCCCTACGGTTGGTGCGTTAGGGTAGTCTATCAGCGGTCCACATGTAACATTTTGGTGTTTAAAAGCTACAGAAATTCAGTCCATAGATATGATGTCTGAGCCTGACCCGGCTCGACTAATTTGTTTTAATTAGAGGTCCCAGGCCAAATGAATCCCAGCACATTATTTTAAGATTTTATTGCTTTCGTTTATAGATCACAATTTGAATATGCAGTGCAACGTGCCCCAGTTTCTGCTCGTTTTTGTCGCTTGTTGTTACGCAGGGTGTCAAGTGCAAATCTTCTATAATATGTGGTTGAAAAGATCCTAGCTCACTTATTACTTTCTGTAACAAGATAGACAGTTTGCTCCTCCATTTAAACAATAAGAGGATTAGCACAACATATCTTTCTCTTTAGTTTTCACTCTTCTGGATCTACTGTTGGCTTGTTAAAGGCGCCACTTCAGCCAAAGGCGCCACTTCAGCCAAAGTTTTGAATCCGCTTTTGAACCAGGCGTCCTAAACATAACTCAACCCGCTTTCAGCTCCGAGTCAGCATTTAGTTCAGTGCCCATGTCAGAGTTGATATTTTATATTGATTGATTTAGTATATTCAGATTAACATTCACGTATGTATGCAAGTAACCCTCTCCCACCATTTCCACTGTTTGAGGAAGCAGTGATACTGTAGATATTCTTAAATAATAAACTTATACACCTTCCTAATATATATTTTTTTTACAAGAAAAGGACTTTGGCCATCATTTTAGGAAGGTGATGGTATATTTCCTTACCTTGATAGTATCTGAAATAACTGTATCAGCAGTTTGTTGTTTTAACTTTTTCTCCACATCTGTCCTGCAGTAGTTGCCATTGTGTGTGTTTTTGCCTTCCCTTTGCTAATGTCTGCCATTAAAACTCGCCTCTTCTCTGCTTGTCAGTACAGGTGATGACCTTGATGGTGCCATGTGAATGACCTTAGACCATGAAGCCCACACACAAGCTGCTGTTTGTCCTGTGTGCCTTGCTGGTGCTGGGCTTTATATACTACTCTTCTTGGAAGCTACATATCGACGTATGGGGACAGAAGCCCCGTAAGTTGCTCCTTCAGTCTAACAATGAAAGTTATTACTCATAAATTAACCCATCTTTCTTTGTATTCTCTTTGTAACCCTTGCATTGTCTATCTTTTTAAGTGTGAATGTCCGTCTTGATGTTCTGTTTCACAAAAGCTCCGGGTGTCTGTTAATGTCTCAAACACAGTGTAGGTTTTCTTTCAGCTGGTCAGAGCTGTGGATGTTGCTGGGAGAGGAATGTAATCAGATTTACCCAGAAGGCCTGTGTTAAAGCTATGTGCATGTTGCTCACTTCCTGCACTGGCAGATACTGACATCCACTCCTCTGAAAGAAGGTGGAGATGACATTCGCAGATTTTCACTCTGACATAGTCACAGTTATTGATGTAACTGTCGTTAAACTGTAAGGTAAGGCTTCCTCTTCTTGCTGAAACACCACAATCTGTGGTGTTTCAGCAAAACTCTTGGATTCTGTCTCAAAAAACAAGTTTTGTGACATGTTAACACTGCAATAAAGAGAAACTGAATTTAGCTAAAATCACACTATGGATATTTTTATTCCCTCCTGCCATCTAACTTCTCCCTTCTCCTAATGTTTTTTTTCCTTTGGAGGATCGGCTAATAATTTAACCTATTGTGCTAATAACCGAGTGGTATTACCACAGCCACCTGTTATAAAATGTGGTTTGCAGCTCAGGAAGAAAACCCAACAGATAGTAGTATTACGCTTGCCTTTAGAAGTAACTAATGCTGGTATCCGGCCCGTTGCCAATATCGGTATTGAGAGAACTCTCTCAAGACAGTATTGGGGAGTATTGTGGGGGGGAAAAGAACAAGTCAACTATTTGTATTTTGTTTCACATTTAGAGCAGTGAAAATTATGCTACCTATTGAAAACTGTTTATTATAGAGGTGTTACAAGGAGCTTCAGTGGCAACAAGAAGCCTGTTTAGATTACACCATATTTCATAATTTCATACTTTTGTTTCAACAACTGATGTTGGTCATGAGAACTCTGCTAACGTTTCAGTTTGGGTTTGACAACGTAAAGCAGTTTCAAAATGTTCTTGATGTTTCACTACTAAACTCCTGTTTTATGAAGCTGGCTCACACATCAGATTCCTTTAGTGGAATGCTATCCTGTTAGTAAATAATTGACAATTAACAGTAGACAAGCTTGTTCTATTGCCACATTACAAAATAAATTAGTAATTGAATGTAATAGATTTTCAGATTGATTTACCTATGTTTTACAGCTCAGCACAGCAGCAGCTTTAGGCTTGTGAAGCTTTCACAAATTCTAATTAAATGGTGTGCTAAACTTAACATTGACAACAGAGTAGATTCTAAATGTTTAATCAGATGAGGCTTGGTCAGTTGGGCTGATTTCCCAGTGCATTTAGAATCTTTAGGTGCATCATGTCCAGACTAAATATGTACACTGTTGGCTTTATTGTAGAGGACAAGCAGATTGAAATATGAAGCACAACTTTAGAAAACAACATTCTTCCTACAAAAAAAAAAAAAAGAAAATAGCCAGACAACATATGGAACAATGAGATGGTTACTGCATTATTTATTTATTAATTTTTTTGATGCTGTTAAAGTTTGGGTTTGACAAATGGGAAACATTAGTGAAGTTTTGTTTTAATCCTACATGGCTAAATTTAAGTTGATAGACCAGGCTTGCTATAGGTAACAGCAAATCTATGTACTGTTGTCTGGCCTTCTTATTGAATTGTTATGAATTCTTTAGAAATTGTTGAGGTTTCTTTGCTCTTTGGTCCCAAAAACTCCCCAAGCTAACCACTGTAGATGTTTTCAGACATAAAAAAAATTTACCTGTAGGCTCTCTGTGCTCTAATTATTCCCAGACATGCAGCATCATGTTCTATTCCACTGGAAACCTTTGTAGTCAGGCAGCTTCCAGAAGCCTTTAGTGTCTTGTAATTTGATTAGTTTTGACAGGTTTTATTTATTTACTTTTTTTACAAACCTTGGTGGTCTTCCTTCTTGAGTCCACCAGAGGGAGCTAGAAGATAGCTCTTTAATTTTATTGGATTCTCCTACTGCAGACATCATTACGTGGAGAAACATTGTAGTCAGATCATATTTTGATACATCCTTCCACGTAGAAGGCCATGCTGTATGTGTTTCTGAGAGAATCTTGAATTTAACAATTGAGTTATTCTAAAAAACTAAAGTCAGCCACCATTAATTTTTTTAATGTTGTTTTGGTGAGACAGCTTTTTTTCTATCCATTTTAAATAACATATGACTTCTTTTCTATTTTTAATTTATTTTTCCACCTTTCTATTATCTTACAACCATAGTGGGGTTGCCAAGGATGCTGGTGCCTATCCCAGCTGTCAACAGGTTAGAGGCGGGGTCACCCTGGACAGGTCGCCTGTCCATCCAAGACATGTAAACAATAATGCATGCACACACCAACACCAAAGGAGAATACAGAAAGATCAATCAACCTGACAGTCTTGTCCAGAGAAAACCCACACATGCACAGGGAGAACATGTAACAAAAAAAACAAATTTCTGTTTTTCATGTGACTTTTTCCATCCCAGCCATTTGATTTTAGTGTATATGTTTTAGATGCTGCTGAAGGCAAAACTAAAAAAATAAGTTGAGAATAATGGAGTAAACAACAACGAAAAAGCTGGAACTTATCTGTTGGGGTTGCAGCAGCTTATTAGCTGTTAAAAGGCAGCATAAAATGTGCATCTGTACCCACTTTTTTTGTTTTTCTTTTGTAATAGTTCCAAGGAGACTGCCTTTGTCGCAGATTAAACTCTGGATCAACACAAGGCTTTGATCTGAACCTCATACCTGCTCTTTGTCAAAATAAACTTTATGTGGAATTCAGTCGTAGAATTTTAATATTTGTCAAAAATATTTGGCTATTTATTATCTCCTTTTATAGAAGGATTATTTGTTTGTAAACATAGCAGCTATGTGCGTGAGTTGGACGCAGCAAGAGCTGGGCTGGCCGTTAAATGTTCACTTGTTACCATGGTTACCCATATTTATCTTGTTGTTTTAACATGTCAGTGTTGTACAACTGTTTATCACAGCATGATAAAATAAGTTATGCTACTAAATTGACATTGGTGAACGAGATTCCTTTTACTAACCCATAAGCATTGAATGTGCTTAATGAGAGAAAATGGCCCAAACGTTGAATATTACTTCCTTGCGATATTAAAGGAATTTAACGGTAAGCTCATCAACTCTCAATGAGATTTCTCAAGTCCAGCTAAATAAGATAAGCATGGTGAACAAAAAGGGCACCGGAATATGATTGTCATTGGCAGTTTATACAATGAGAGTATGAAGGCCTGTCACAATCACAAATTTTGCTGGATGATAAATTGTCCTAGAAGTTATTGCAATAAATGATATATTGCTTTGAGACCATTTCCAAGGAATCTAATGGTAATGTCATAATAAGGCAAGGACACATTCTCAAAGATCAATAAACTTTAAATTCTAATGAACATTTAGCACTGGAACTGGAAGACATTTTAAAAATCCAAAACAAACAAACAGAAACAAACAAATAAAATGATTTAGGAAGTTTCTATAAACAAACTTGACCTTCGAAAAGAAAAGGGACTTGATGAAACCACAGCACCAAACTGGAGAGGTTTGTCATGCAGTCTTTGGCAGAAAGAAAGAGAGAAATGCTAAATCATGCAAATGGAAATTACTGAACTCATTTTAATTCATCATGCAATCGATTAACTGATTTACTGCTTATTGCGACAAACCCAATGAACATTAACATACAGACACATGCAGTGGTGTCAGAATATCTCATAAAAAATTTGATATATTGAAAAAGGCATTTCTACAAAAAGAAAATGCAATTAACTTTAGTCTCCAGTCTTTAAGTTACATTTAAGAACAAACGTCAAGAGAAAAAGGTGGGAGGGTAGAGAATTTTTTTAAAATCTTTTTTTTTTTAACATCTTTTTTATGTCAGTGTAAACCTTACACTGACACTTAAAATGCTGGAAAATCCCACATTTGATCATGTAAACCCACAAGTTACCCAAATCTTTTCATTTTTGTGTCCAATGATATCTTGATTAAGTTCGCTTTCTCCTTGTTCTGATGAATTTCCTGCTCTACTCTGCAATCTGGCAATGGCTGCAGTCTATCTTTTCACTTTTTCATATTAATGTTTCATAGTTTGTATGGACATTTGTCTAAAGTTGTACACTTTAACAATGGACATATTTTTCATCAGCAACCTATTTCTTAAACATGAATTAATTATTTACATTTGTGTATTGCCTTATTTTATGATTAAATATGAGAATGCATATTTTACAAGGAGCAAAAGCTTTTCACAAAGAGTTCTCTTACCACTCATCAGGGAGCCGTTGTAATTTACTTCTCTACTTCAAAATATTAAGTTTTCATAAAATGTCAGAGCACAGACTGTCCATGTCTGTTCAAATTCACTCCTGAAGGGATTTATATGTATATTTAAAATGATGGGTAATATATCTCAATAGAAGTTTTGTTTAGAGGTCAGAGATGGAAAATATCTTGAGGGAATTCTGGGACAGCGAGGAATTTAGAAAATATTACATTTCATCTTTGTTCTGTTGAATGAGCACATGCTTTTCTCATCAGTCATTTGATTAAAGGGGCGGTGCTATTCATTTTCTAGGCACATGGTTTTGTTTTATAGCACAATCAAATATTAAATAAATGCAATCTATATCAAATATGACTGAAGATAAATTTGACTTTAGCATTTTGAAATTGGGCCTTCAGGAAGTCATCACAACATGGCTCCTCTAATAACCTCTAATAACAGATTTTTACCAGCATTACACTGAGAAGTGGCTGCTGGTGTTTGCTAATTGCTGCTCGCTAGTCTGAAGGAGCTGTGTTGAGGAGGAGTGCTTTGTGAGAAGCTCAGAAACGTAGAATCTGTACCTCCAAGGAGGAACTGTGTCTCGTAGGCGGTACTAGATCCACCCAGGCATTTTACACAGTCAAATGCATGAAAGAATCGAGACAGGGCGCCAGGTATGTTTTTGATGAGGAAATAACATAACATGTTGTAAACCTCAGGGTTTTATGTACTACTGCCCCTTTGATAGTAAATGCATATTTGTGCATTTCGCTTTGGTGAGTGTGTGATCGTCTCATCTGTAGTGTGAACAAAACAAATGAGATGACTAAACTTTTCCTGTTTGTCTTGAAATCCACAAACACTGTTTCCATCGTGGGAGAAGATGTGGAAGTGGTGGAGTATTAATACCTTCATAAACACCTAGACAGCACAACAGACTTTCATAACAGCAAAGTTGTCAGAGCAGACTTTACATCTTGAAGAGCCTTAGTCCTACAGTGTTTTCAGTAAGATGCTGCGGATATTCTCCAAGTCTGTTGTGGAGAGTGTAATGTCTTCAGTCAGAGGCGTCTTTAAATTCGCTGTAAGACAGGATGCTACAGAAGATACCACCTGTCTCCAGGCCCTAGCTTCTACAACAACTCATTTAAGAAACTTTGGGTTTGAACAGATTCAAAAACCAAAGCTTTTTGAATCTGAACCTCTCAAAGCTGCAGCAGACACCCAGAAAACCACAAAAACAAAATAAAAACAAAACAATGCCCGAGTGACATATTAAACAAAATACAGAAAATATTTATTACAAATGAACATTTATTATAACTGAACATTTGTTACTATACAACTGTTATACAAAGGTTTGAATTACCTCCACATTTAATTTCCCTCTTGGAAGTGGTGAAGTACTTTAGATTTTTTTTGTTGAATTTTGTGTGCCTTGAAAACTTGATGCAGAATCGGCATCTCATGTGGTGATGGAGGCGTCTGGCTCAGTGGATTTTTTTTGACTGATGGCAACAGCTTCCCAGTTATGTCCTTTCTGTGACAGATGCTAAAAAACATAAAATAAGTACCTTCTCTAGATTAGCACAGTGATGGTCATACATGTATGAACTACTCAAGACCAGGGGCCACATGCACCCCCTACAGGTTTTTATGTGGCCCTCTAGACTCCAGAGGCACACAGAAATAGAACCTCCACTTTTTGTGAAATTTCCACAAAACCAAACGCAAAAAAGAGAAACACAATTTTTCACGTGAATGCATAATTGTGAGTTCATTTCACATTTTTCACTAGAATGGGTCAAAAGTATTGAGTTTAAGTGACTAACTCCCACCTGCAGGTGGCGGTATTTTATACTCAGCCTTACTTTGTGTCAATATATAGCCCAGGACAGATACAGCGAGTAAAAAAAAGTCACATTCACTATAATACATGATGTAAGATAAACATAGCAAAATTTCTTGCAAATATTTCTAATTAATTAATTTCTATTTAATTATTAATATTTGAACAGTTTCTTATTGGGTTTTATATTTGTTGTACATTGTGGCATAACCTGCCTTTTGAGAACATTCATTATGTTGATTTGGCCCAAAGTTAAAATGAGCTTGACATCCCAGCCTTAAACTATCTGTTTATTGATATAGATGTTTACAGCTGTTTTACCACAATAAATTATTCAAAAGTCTCTTTTTATTGTTGTTAAAAACAGTTAGGAATTTTTCTGATTAAATGTAAAACGGACAAAACTATCTTTTTGAGGCAGCCTTTCTTGTGTAATTTATTTATGTAAAACTTGAAACACAGTACAGTGGGGAAAAATAGAAATGCTTGTTCCCATTAATCAGAGAATCATAACCTTTTGAAAAAGTTTATTTCAAGTCTAGACCAGTTGTTGAGGCAATTTGTCGTAGGTCACACTAATATTGCTCTAACGTTAGAACGTGTGCTTTTCCAGGTCTTTGCTCTGAATCTCATTAGCATTGAGCTCAGCAGCTGCACAAGGAGCCAGTCATAAATATTCTTAACCCCAGCTCGGTTTTCAACATCAGGGATCGCCTTTTCTCGTCTCCAAGGTGTAGTGATCCACCTATACGGTTTCAGCCGGATCCGTTGAAGTTTACTAATTGGAGGAATTGGATCTTCCTGGGCTCTCATGGGGAGGAGGTCACGTGGTGGTCATAATTTGTTATAAAAGAATACATGTTTATATTTTACAAAAGTTTGTGCTGATTTTTTAATTTTTTTTCCCCCTCAGATTTTATGTTGCCAGACTAATCATTGACATGTGGATGAAATGACATTCCAGCTGTTCTTTGGTTATTTTGACTGAAGTGGGATGTTTATATTTGCCTTTTTTTCGTGGGGATGCTAGCTCATTAGCAGTTGCGCTTTTCCCCTTTCATGTAAAGCTAATGAAGTGATACGAACTGAAACTAAATTGGAGTTTGGACTCCTTGCCAAATTCCAAAGTCTTAAAAGCATAAATGGTCCTTTCGCACATGATGATCATGTTGCCAACATAAAAATGAGCCTTGCAGGATCTTTTGAGGCCTTCTGGAGTGCATTAAGAATTCAGTGGGCTATCCATGAAGCATGATGCTCCACCAGAGTCTGATGGATTTCTGCATTCCCAAAGCTTCCAAAGTGCAATCATTGTGGTTTGTTATCGTTGTGTTAGATTATTGAAGAAGTTGGGTGGAGTGTTGGGTAATATTGGTGGTTCATTGGCCATGTATGCATTGGCTCATTCCTGTCCTCACCACCTAGATTGGACCATGAATACGCCCCTTTACACAAGGAGAACGGCATGCTATTGCTGCTGAGGTTTGATTCAGATGAGAAGCTAACACAACTTGAAATGGCGCTGAGGCTAGGCTGTGCTGGTGCTGAAGCTGCACATGTTACCTGCAGGTTTATCACCAATGGGGCGAATATTGGCACAGTTCCTAAACAATGGTTTCCAATTTTAATGTAGCACAAATTAGCACAACATAGCAAATTTGTATCCATTATTCAAAAATGGACAAGTGCATCCTTCTGAGCCTTGTTGACAGCCCCACCAGTGTGTTGGTCAACCCGGGCCCTGTCCACATAGAACATTTTTGTTGATGATTAAGAAATGATGTACATAGGCAGGGCAGTCTGCATCACAATTGAAAAGGCTGTAATAGGTATGCCAGGCCAATCGGTGGCACTGCAACTTTACTACATGACTACGCAACACACACCGTAACGACATTTGACGGGGCCAAGTTTATTTGTGAGAGTGAGGCGCATGCAGGATAGAGACATGGAGGTACGCCGTCATCAGTTTCTAAAACCTGATCTGTATTGGCACAGGGAGCCATTATTCTGAAAACTGAACCTGCAAAATAAAAGCTAAACAGTAACATCTTTTTTTTTTTCATAAACCACTTTATGCTGTAAAATTTGACTGTTTAGTGTAAAGTCAAGAGTGTAACTAATATAAGGAATGCTTGGGACATGTCCTCTGCTTTTCCTTTAGCTGTTCCTTTATCTATGCCATGCAGATAATGTTAGCTAAATGATTGGTTCATCTATACCAGTATATCATGTTAAGTTTAAGAATGTAGAGTTTGTTGTTTCCTGTTTTATACCCCTTGCTTGTTAGTTAATGCTAGGAATAAACCCACTCTATCCTCTTTAATTGTTTTACAGAAGTTCTGCTCAGTGTTGCTTTCCAAATATTCAAAAGAAATCTTTATTGTCACAGTAATAACAAAGAGTCAGAGAGGATTCAAGTCAGAGGCCTGGAGCACAACAACAGTCAACCCAGGTAAGGAGATATTAGAACTTGATGAGGAAAAGAGAAGGAAAGGGAAGGTTATGTGTAGCAGTTTCAGCGCTTTTAGAAGACCATGCTACTGCCAAAGTAAACCTCAAGAAAATGTGCGACTTTGACAGCAGCTTTTTGAAAAACGTTTAGGCCGCAACAATCACAAAAATTGCAACATCCTAGACGGTCTGTTTGCTTTATTATCTATTAGTTAAGAGAAATTAATGTGGTGCACGCTTTACAAGTACGGTCCCCTTAATAATAACCAGTTGTATTTGTTCTGCCTCTAGGCCAAAACAGGTTTGTTGTTTTCTGGAAAGAAAATTTAGATGCTCTTCCCAGAGATCACCTGTTTGCAGTTTAAAGAAAGTTTATCCCAGCTTTGTTAACATTTGGAAGAAAATATCTTAAGCTCATGCAAGCAAAACTCAGTCCTTCCTCCTGTACCTAGTTTGCTTTGACGACACACCCTCAGAAGACCCGACTTTAAAAACTCAACCACATTTGAAAACAACAACAATAAAGGTTTACAAGCTTACCACATGAAAATGGGCTGTGGTGACATTGCTATGACTGTCAGTGTCGTCTGTGGTGTTAGCAATGTTGTAGTGCAACATGGTGTTCTAGTACAGAGGTGTCTAACTTCATTCTAAGGGCTTCACATTGACCTATTTGGTGAGCAACATAGTGTTGCTTTTGCACTGACGGGTTTGTTCTAACTCCCAGGGTCCCAGGCTCATTCTAATTTGTGGTGTAGGGGATCTATTGGTTTCTAATTCTGTCTGAAGAGGTCGTAAGACTGCACTGAAACCTAGAAACCAGCTTCTCTTTGAAACTCCTATTATTTCTGTTTGTTACTGTCTCTTCTTTTCATGTCTGTATTTGTTATGAAGCTACTATCTGTGTTTTTGCCAAAGTTGTTCATTTGAAGTCCTTTGCATTACTGTGGTGTTGGTTAATGGTTGTTAAGATGACGGTTGCTGTCCAGTCCCAATGGTCTTACTCTAGTGTTAACCCCTTTTGTTTACAGAGAAAGATGCAGAGGAGACATCTGTAGCGCTGACTAAAGGTGCTGAAGTGAAAAGAATTGCAGGTAGAGGAACTGGGAGCATTTATTCTGCGTGACATCACTAATAAGATCCCTTAATATTTGTTTTTATGTTGTCTGAACTTTAAATGCAACGGGTTGTTGTCTAAAATGTCTCATTCTCTCATTTGTTCATTTATGGTGCGTCTTAATTTACCGTTGTCATAGCGATTACTTAGGCACTAATAGGGTTTCTTGCAGTTAATTTTCCACAGCAATGGAGCTTTTAAGACTTTACCTAAGTTTGACAGTCTGAAATCTAATTCACTCTTCTGGGACTGAAGCCACTAACCTTTTATCCTCCACCACCTTTTGGTTCTGTAATATGGAATAATTGCAGTTTGCCTCATTTTTACAAGTCCAATTTTGCCTCTTCTTGCTGAACTCAAATGCTGCTCAATGACCCTTTTCTGTTTCAGAGCTGGAAAATGACATCAACGTTGGACGAATAGTAAGCTCAGGTACATGTGCTGCCATGCAAGCCAAAGCCTCCACCTCCTCGCTCTCTGTGCTCTGCTAGAAAGGAAATGACAAACTCCTACAAAACTCTGGGATAGTAACACAGCTCCACTTGTGGTCTGAAATTAGTTGGCTTTTTATGAAAAATTAGGAAGTTTTGTCCGTGAAAGCTTTGTATCAAAATAGTTTCACAGTTGGTGATGAATCAGCCATACAACACTGCCCTCTGTTTTTGTTTGATAACAAATGCCAGCAGGAGATTTTCTCCAAAACATTTTGTTCTTATCTGATTTAATATCTTCCATGTTGCCTCGTCTTTTGCCACGGCTGTGTGATGCTTCTCAGTGTAAATTTCCAACACAAATACCTTGCTTGTTGTCAGCGACCACGCTCCCTCGGCAGTGCTTTGATTCTTCCTCAAATACTTGTCAAGCATTCCCATTGTCCTTTTCTTCATGTCTGTTTGCCAGCTTCTCTTTGAAGGCAAGACTCACACACACACACCCTCAGGAGTAATTCTGCGCTATGTTTAACTTTGACTAATGTCACATCTGTTACATGTGAAGGACATCACATTATTTCACTTATAGAAATAATGTGAAATGTCTTCATTTTCAATGGAAGGCTGCAGTAAACACTGAAATTTCCCAAATCGAACTAAACTTTTCATTTCACCTCAAATATGTTTTTCTCCTGGTTTTCTGTGCTCTTCTGTCTACCTCAGTTCTTCAAAACACCTACTGGATACCCATAGGTGTTCTCAAACAGTTTTTCTAATGTTTATTCATTTATTGTTTTATCTCAACAGATGGTTTTTGGCTGGCCTCTGCCTAACCTTGCTTGTTTGTGTTGATTCCTTAATCCAGATGCTTTTACTTTTCCATATGCTGCATTGTTCTCCCTGTGGAAGCCACACATGTCGTTTACAACTACAGTTACTGAGCTGATAGTTGAAATAAAGTAGAATGGATGTCCACAAAACGTCCCCGGCAAAGATGAGCCATTTCAAACACATGTGCTTCGCAGACTCACAGGCCTTTTTGTTGTCTTCACTTTGCAGGGTACGATAAGCAGGGCTTTCTGCTGCAGCTGGAAACAAAACTGTGAGTATATTTCTTTCTCATAACTGGTTATTAATGCGACTGGTTCATGGATTCTCCATGCGCTGCACGGGAGATGAGTTATTCAACATATGGCTTTAAAAAAATGGAATCTCTTGGAGGCAGAAATCATGTACTGTTTTTCAGCCTTCTGTGTTTCTAGAACATCCATCTATTCAGTTTTTTTATGTCATATTCTTATCTAATGGACTTCAATAACAACGGGAGGAGGGACAAAAAGCAAAATAACAAAGAAGGAAAAAAAGAGTTTCATTTCTTTGCGACCTGAAAATGACAATAGAATAAAAGAAAGAATAATAAAATGTGAGAATCTTAATGATGAAGAATAAAGTCCAACATGTTGATTTACTCCACTGCACTCTCAGGCCATTTGAGTCCAAATAAACAGTCTCTGCTGCGGCGTTCAGTACAATACAACTTCAAAAGGAGTAAAAAGGGAACAATAAATAAGTATGTTCTATTCATCTACTTCTATAGCCACTTAATGTGGGCTCTCTGTTAATAAATGTTATTACTTAATGTGTGCAAATTAAATAACAGACTCTGACAAACTCAGAATTTGTTTGTCAGAGTTCTTGGCAGGATTGTGGTGCCGTACCAGGTTTCGGTTGCGTTACCTTTACAGAAACTTCCCAGCTGGATCCTTCTGTTGTGGAATCTGTGTCCCTGTGCGTTCCAGGTCTCATAGTCTGAAAATGATCCTGGCATACCCACAACAGGCCAAATGCTACAGCAAAATAACGACTAGCTTGTTAGCTTTTCACCTCTGAGGATGTATTTACTTTCCCAATAAGGTAATTGGACTGTAATTTCTTAAAGCTTCAGAGAAGCTCACTTTTAAAACCCTTTAGGCTCTGAATGCTCACCGCCCCCAGATATGTGCAAATAATTGGGAGTGTATCTTTGTTTCGATTGCAAACCAATGCTGCTGACTCAACACCAAAGGTAGTGATTTAATATTTGTTGGCAGGCATTGTACATTAATTTCTTGAAATAATACTTTTTTTTGTTGTTGTCTTAATGAGGAATTATGATTTATTGTCATAATACGGCAAATGCAAACTCACAGTAAAAGGGTTGAGTAATCATTTTAGTATTTTGTGTGAAATAACATATTGCTTGTCAGTGAGGATGTGTTTTAATAGATCATTATTCTGTTGTCACTTTGTCAGCACATCAGTGCATGCGTGTGCAGTACTCTGAATTTGTTTGACTTAATCACTCCAAACTGCAGCGGTGAGATCTCCATTACGCTGCCTTTCGCTTACTGGCCTTCAAGGCGTCTGTCTTCACACACACACCATCTATGCAGTCTGTCAACACACAGTTTAAGGTGGATTTTATGAGTTCAGTTTGTATAAAACATTAACTTTATGTCTATACTCATTAATTATATGGGACACAACAATCTTTTATTATTGATTGAAAAGCTGTTAATTAGTTTGTAACATGGATCATTTATTTAATGTTAGTAGCATGAGTGATGCTTAGAAGATTTTATACCCACCAATTTATGTATTTCCCAATAAAATTCCAACTGTAAATAACCCTAAGCAGGAAGAAATCTTGTCAAGGAGAAAATAAGAGCTGTAAATGATGTGCAAATGAGGCATAAGTGAATCTTTTCTGCTGACATTTCTGACTTTGGACCTCACAAAGAGCTCAGACCTTGTCTCTCTTTTTCTTTTCTTTTTTTCCCCTCCTCCCCGTTTATTTGAACTAAAATCACAGCGCACATCAGATTATTGATGGTGGTACTAATCGGGAGGTTCTAGACTTGGCAACGCTGGTTTAATTATTTAAACAAGGGTCTCACTGTTTTGTCTCGCCACACACAGATGAGACGAAAAGTTGTCACTGACTTATTCACGTTCTTAGGCAATCGACAGCTCTGATTCTCCTTGACAGTGTTTGACAAGCTCAGTTTTGAGGGTCTAAATGTGTTTCTCTTACTGCTAATGAGTTATCATGGTGTGTCTGAATGTTTCCCTGTGTTCTGTTAATGTATAGGCCACCGGAGTTGGCATACAAGTATGGCAACCTCAGCGAAGGGGTGTGTAAACCAGGATATGCAGCAGCCAAAATGACATCCATCTACCCTAAGTGAGTAGTCTGCTTTATCGCTGTTCTTTTTATATATTTGAATCGGATTGCACAAAGGACAGATCCTAAGGGTTCTTTATGGATTTGTATCTAGATGTTAATAGGAGATGAGCTCCTTCTTGGGCATACCAAGATACATGATGTCACCCCCAAAGCCAGTCGAGCCTAAAGGCCTTTTCGCCTGACATAGAAAAGCCTCCACATTCCTGTCCAATCTGATCCTACTATCAATCGTGTTTTTTATCGTCTACTTCCCCACAACAAAAACTCAACTGTGTTCTTGTATTCCCCTGGTACACAATAGAACATTTGTCACCCAAACACAAGGTCTCCCATCTTTCCTCTGTCATATCGTGGAGCCTTTAAAGACTTCTCTATGGGCGACACAAACTTCCTGTCCTGATTCATCACAAGCTTTCCCCTAACCAACCCACATGCCCCTCACAGTCCTCCAGAGTCTGATGTCATTTATTCTTTTGATTTTCTTTTTTCTTTATCCCCTCTGGGTGTCTATTTTCTGTACAGCATCTCAGCTTGATCTATAGGACATTGTTCTATTAGCATTCTATGAGCCAAGCATTGACAATTTTCCACACTGATGAATAAGAGCCAGTGGCATCACAAAGGAGTACTTGACCTAATTAGAGGACAAATTCACCATCCCTATTTTGTGTGTTTTTGTTTATTCATTTACTTTTTACAGAACATTTAAACATTGTCTCCTGTGTCTTATCTGCCATTAAAACCCTCCAGTGTGGCAATAAAAATGTGTTCCTATCATGTAGAAAAACATGACTTTCTCAGAAATCCAAGCTGTTCTTTTCAGGTGAAAGTGAAATGTGTCTTTATTTGGAAATGAATATCTGGGAGTTTGGAGGAAGAGTGGAGAGGCACAGAATCTACCTCACTAAAAGTCCAGTGTGAAGCTTTTAGTCTGTGATGAATTCTTGCAGTTTTTTATGCTTTCCTTTACTGACTCAGCTTTATAGAGACACAAATTCCATGTCTAAACTCCACTTGGCCACTGGTATTAATAGCGATATTGTCAACCCTGGTGTCGCTGTGCTTGATTAGCCAGCAAGTTGGGCTTAGCTGAATATAACAGAATCGGTAAATAACTCAAGACATCCCCAAGCAGACCTGATCCTAATTTTGTTGTAGCTAGTCACATATGCCATAGATTTTCAAATTTTTTCAATGATGTCAAATGCATGGAAATCAGAACTGAAATAGATATGGCTGTTTGAATGTTGGAACTCTGAATTCTAAAATTCAGAGAAAACGGCTTTCAAAATTTTCCCTAAAACTGCTTTGCAACCTGGCACAGTTCAGAAAGGCTGTTCATTTACATTACTTTGCATTAACTGATGATTTATTGGAATCCAGCAGCTCTTCCAGGATTGATGAATCAATTCCTTTACTGAGGTCTTCCCTCTTTGCAGCACACAGCTGTATGCTTCACAGTAGCAAACTGCCAAAGAACCCTGCTTTTACAGAGGTTTATGGATTCACTTTTGCAGATGATCAGGTTTATTTTATTTAATGATCCAAACAACATTCATTTCTTCCACACCAAGTTAGTTTTTGTTAAATAAAACAGGCTGTGTTATCCATCTCTGTTTTTTGGTGAAGTCAAGATGATTCTTATAGATTAAAGGAAAAGGAAAAGATAGTTGTTTTTCACCATGATTTAGTTTTAAATATTGCCATAAAAATGGGCCCACTGAATGTTCTCTGCTTTTGTTTTGGCTAGAAAAGAACTGAAAGTGTTTTTGGATAACTTTGACAAAACTTCCAAGAGCAAACCCCTCCACCACCACCAAACCCCCAAACCCGACTGTACGCGAGCGGCCATGCGTTAATGACTTCATCTAATCAGCTGCACATGTCTGATCAAAGTTCTGTACAGCTTGGAGCCCACTGATTATTACTACCTTCACACAGGTCACACAGGTCAATCAGCAGAATTAATGCTCTGGCTAGTGGAGGCTTGGAAGATGAAGAGTTAGGTGTGGGCTATTTTGGTGTATTTTTTTTAAATGGACTAAACCAATTAAATGTTTTCTTAATAGTTTTTGTTCCAATTTAAGAGGAAATTCATTCTTTAACATTGATCTGTTCTCAATCGTGCTGTCCAAACGGGTGTGACCATCAGTGCAGCGCTTAGAGAAAGCTGCTTAACCTCTGGCACTGAGGTCTTGTGGTTCCCCTTCTAATCATCTCCTGCTTCCTCCTTGTTTGTCTTCTCTGAAGCCCCTTGCCCTGCAGAGTCCAATTTATTTTAAAACGCCTCCCTCTCCCCTCAACTTCACCCAAAACTGTTTGTGTTGGAGCCCTAAATCAAGTGTTGGTTGTGAACTTCAAGTGGCACGGTTATAAAAATATTGCATGTGAGAGATGGACCCTGCAGAGGAAATGAGCACAATGCATCCCTGCCTTCTGGCTGAGTGGGGAACTCTTACATTTTATTTAACATCAAACAGCACTGTGTCTGTCTGCATTGTCAGGATGTCAGTGACTGACTGTTGGTCAAGGCTCAGTGACTCATAATAAGTCTTTGTTATTTATTGCCCTATCTGGCCTCACAAGTCTTCAGTTTAACAAATATCCTTTTGCTTTGACAGGACAAAAGTCTTTGTGTGTGTGTGTTCTTGTCAGATGATGTGAGGACATGTAAAAGCCAATCTGGGTGCTTTGTCCTTTTCTGGTTATACTCTCCTCTTTTTTAAAGTTTGGGATTAATCTCACAAGTCGCCTGTGATGCTGGGAAGAAGCTAAACCTCATCGGAAGGTCTCCCTATAATGTCGGCCTTTATTTAGTCATTGCATTTCAGAGATTCACGTTTATCACACTGGTCTGTCACAGTGTTATAACACAGGGATTCCAGTTGAGACATAGGAGTGTGTGCTTTCCTGTCTCTACTTTCGGTTTCCCATTTCCAAAAGTCTGCTAGTTAGTGTCGTCTGGAAGCTAAAGGTTGCCGAGAACGTGTGTGTTTATGGCTCTGAGTGCCAGACATTAGACCTTCACTGGGATTCGAGAAATGCATCGTTGGTGGTCTGGTTCTGAGAAGAGAACTACACTTCAGTCCTATTAATCAATCTCTGCATACCTTCGGTTATACGCAAACCAATGGATCATTCTTTTAGAGCTCTGTGAAGCACCACAGCATCGACAAACTACCACATGTAGATATGCACCAATTATAAAATGTCATTGTGGAGTTCTTGTGAAGCCATTTTCCCCCAGACAGGTCAGAACCTTCTGAAATAAATAATGGAATCAGAACCTTCTGAGCCAGAAGGTTCTGATTTCAGAAGGTCAATTACAGGACCTTCTGCAGTCCTGTATTTCTGTTATGAATGACTAGTATATTATATTAGAAGCAGAGGAGACATCAGACCAGTGTGTGTGTGTGTGTGGGGGGGGGGGTGTAATACTTCAAGGTAAATACTATTTGGCTAATATTTCTAATATTTCTAAACAATTAAAATGATTACTGTGACATTTTAAAAAGTTTTTAACATACATACATTCATATGGACATTCAGCACTGCTATTTCCTGCTGGAAACATCTGTCTATGTAGTCTGTCAATTTAGCTGACTTAAACTGGAAAATTTACAAAACATTGCAAACATTTCCTAGCAAACTCAGTCTATCTCAGACTTGAATGTTTATAAACCTTCAGAGGAATAAAACTGTTACTTTACTGTAATAAATTAATCTTTCTGCTGAAAGTGTCACCATATAAATAAATACTTGACGAGCCTTCATAGAAAATAAGCTAGATTTAAATTTTAGAATATAAGAATGACTCATTTGGTAACAAATGAGCCATTGAAGTTCACCAATGAGTGAACTTCACCAATGAGTAACTTCAATGAGTTCACCAATGAGTGAACTTATTGAAACTACTGTTAGCTCTCGGATATTAGGTGTTCACAGATTTAAAAGTAAAAAAAATCACTCAGCCAGTAGCTGTGAGGGGAGATAGAAACACATAGCAATGCTCCTTTGCACTGGTGGGTCTGTGCCTAACTGAACGCACAAAAGTCTGACAAATTTTTGAGGTTAAAACATCCAGCTCAGAAAGAAGGAAGCACTTTACTTTTCTATACTCTACTGGTCTAATTTATTTAACTGGATAGAGGGTACAAATTGCTCTTTGGATTCTAAAAGTTGCAGTCCTTTTCAGGGGTAATGACTAGTGCTAATTTTATTACTTGACAAAAATAAAATTAAAGAAAAACATCTGTACATAGCTTCACAGAATAACATTCTGCATTGGTGCAGGAATGCTGTATTCCTTGACTATATGTATGTTGAACTGAAATTTTATCAGGTACTTTATGAATCCCACCCTTTGTGATTAACACCACTCTGTGGGTGTTGTACTGATAAAAAAAAAACAAAAAAAACTTCTGTGTAGTGAGGGTGCACACTAGACTACAACAGGCTTATTATTCTTAAGGATTTCTGAGTTTGCATTTTAAAATGTCATTATTTGTAGTTTATATAAGAAGTCATGGGGTTTTTCTCCTTTTTTTCTTGCAGGTTTGTGAAACTAGCACCCATGTTCCTCGACCGGAACTTCAAGCAACTCACAAAAATCAAAAACTTTCTGCCTCCATTTGGCATCAAAACTCAAGGTAAAGTATTTTTCTGTCTTCCATTTGTGTTGATATCCATTTGCCCTGTTTCACTTTTGTTATAGAATGTTCTATGCTCCTCAGACTCAAAAACAATATTCTTGAAATAAGTTTAGTTCTGCCTTTTTTTGTTGACTTGCACATTTGGCAGGAAATGTTTTGCTGCCATGGTTTCAAACCTTGTCCTAAGATGTGTTAGGAATGAAATGCATTCCTGGTAATCCACCTGTACATTTTTCCACAGTTTTGTGATCATCAGACCATAATAACAGCAGAGTGCTTATACATTCCCTTGATTGGTTTATTGATGGACTGTTAGAAATGCCAGGTTTTTTTCAACACAAGAAGTTACTTCAATGTCATACGCTCAGTTATTGTTTGACTTCTGGGTCTGTTCCAGTGACTGGCTTCTTATGGATCTGAACAGAAGTCACAATAAAAAGCACATTTTTGTCTAGTCAGTAAGTCAGAAAATGTCTTATCAGAGCTTGTATCAACAGGGAGCGATTGAAAACATAAAGGCTCTTAATTTGAGCAAGTTTCTACATTCATCACAGCACGGTGAACTGCTGGCAGAGGGGATGACCCTGATTGCACAGTGGTTTTGAGGAGATGTTTGACTTGTCTGGTCACTGTGGTCTGTAAAAAAAGCCTCATCACAATGTTGATGACTATGGACACTTTGAAAAGACCTTCTTCCAGCTTTTTTCACTCATGCCTTTTATGGCCACACTGCCAGATTTATGGTGCACGTAACGTTCCTCTTGACACATTCCCCTACCTGAACTCTGGCTCTGTGCAATTCCTCCAGAATTACCATAGGCTTAATGCTTGCAGTTGTTCCGAACAGTGCTCTGTGAAATCTCAGGATATTGTTTAATAATCTAATCCTGCTTGGTCTATCGTGCAAAATCCCAATAAAATACCCCAATGCTCGTTTTTAATGCAAGAGGAATGGATACTACAAGACATACTGTATCAAAAGGATAAAAGAATAGAAGAATAAAAATACTAAAGATGCAGTAGTTATTTTTGACACAAATAGGAACTGAGAGAAAGAAATATAGAACAGAGCTGTAATCTTGTCAAGCTAATCTTGTGATCTTGTAGAAGCAGCTCACCTAGCTGGGGCCCATAGGCAGCTCTATTTGCAAAACTTGAAAATAGCTAGCTTAGGACTCAACCCATACTGTCTCCCCCTGGCATGTTTGTTGATTTAGTCAAATCACAGACTTTTCCTGAATTTATGTCACAGGATTTTAAACCCCCTAAACCTAAAACACAGTTTAACTAGTTTTTGTGTGTGTGTGTGTGTGTGTGCGCGCGTGCATGCGTGCGTGTGTGTCTGTGTACATGGCAGGTTGCTAGATGGTGTGGAATATTTAACATTGTTGCCAATAATTGGATGTTTACCTTTTCCATAATGCAATATTTGATAGCATCATGCTAATCTTACTCCTGAAGTATATGAATGTAGCTCTTTTTGCCTTGTTAACGGCATTCACTGTAAATCTGAAGTGAGGCGCTTTCTGAAGAGCATGTTGTTACTTTGCAAACACTTAGTTGGTGTTGCTATCTATTTAAAAAAAAAACAGTGGGAGCCTGTTATCGACTTGATCTGTACGATTTAAGCTGGTTACTGACTAACCATGCTGCTTATATAACAATTTATCATACCAGGAGAATTTCATAGCACCTACTTCTGCTATCATCATCAAGCTTCATTGAGCATAGTTGTTAAGTAGCAGACAGTATTGGCGTCATCTTGTCTTGTTAGCTACTGCCACATCAATTTTGGCTTTTTCCAGAACATACAGGACCCGGTTCTTACAGCAGTCAGTGTCTAATCTTTTTTTCCCTCAGCAGACTGCACAGCAGGCTTCTCTTTGTCAGAACTTTTTTAGGCAGTATTTTCAGGATAATTACTTAAGCTGGCAACTTGCTGTTCTCCAACATCCTAGCTGGAATGCTTTAGCCTGAAGAGATTGTTCTTGCAAGTTGATCTTAATACACTGCACCACTTCAGATATCTTGCCAGTAGACACCACCATGGGAACTGAGAAGATAACATTAATCTCTTTCACATGTTTCCAATACTTCCTTGCAGAAGGCACCATGAATGTTACCTTTGTGCTCAGGGGAGTTCTTTGCTGTCAGTTGAACACTGAAATACACACATTCTTACTCACAGCTATTATGAAAAGAGCACTCCCTGTGTGAGTGTTACACCTGGTTTCTGTTTTCTCCACGGACTGTGATGGCAGTGGCTTTTCCCTTTGAGTTGTACTCATGTGGAGAGATGATACGTGTGGATCTTGAATAGAACGCCACAAAGGATTCCAAATTGAGAACATGGAGTGGTGATGGTGGGCGGGAGTTTATTTTTACTACTTATTGTGCCAAGAGGTATCTTTGTCATATGTCCAATGCACTCTGAGAACACATTTTCTGTTAGAGTGATTTAGGTTCATTTTAAAATCTATCCAATTTTTTTAATTTGTCCTCCTTCGGGAAAAGTTTCGCTTATCAAATATCCAGCATCATGAGTTTTTTATGTTGATAAACTGTGCTGCAAGGCTTAATTTTGTTTAGTTGATTTCCTACAAAAATCTTAGTGTAAAAGTATAACAGTTCCATTTTGCAAACAAAATGCTGCATCAGTATCACTGTCATATGAATGTAATATGTAACAATGTATTGTCTATTACATGATGCATGACTTTGTGTTCTTGTGTTTATGATGTAAAGCACTTTGAAATGCCTTGCTGAAATGTGCTATACAAATAAAATTTGATTGATTGATTGATTGATATGACCAAACAGAGATCACATGACCATCCTGCTCCAGAAACATGAACAAGAAGATGGAGCTGAACATCGGTTATTACATTGGTTATTGCTTATCAGACCAATAGTCATATGTGAAAAAATGGCAGCATTCCTGATTGTTTTGGAAGTACATAGTAGAGCATAAGAAATCATTTGCCTTCAGTGCTGGTAAACAAGAAATTCTTAAAAGCTAGCAACTAGTTGACAAATAAACATTTATTTGTTATCACAAATAATTATAGTATGGTGGCATAAAAGCCACTTCAAAAGACCTTAAAGGGTCAGTTCAGATTTTGTGATGTGAGGTTTTGTGAAGTTATTATTGGTAATAGTCAGACGAACAGCATCTATTTAGTTGGTTTCAGAAATTTTAAAAAGTCAAACTACAAAATTTCAGTATTAGTGTGATATAATGTTTGTGGGTATGACAAGGTTACAATTTACCAACAGAAAATTTTTCAGCCAAGAAACATTCTTGTTTCTGTGTGATGTTGCCTTGGTCGAGTCTCATTTGTGTCACCGGAATTATTATGCACCATTCAATCATCAACCACCAACAAACTAACCTTCTTTATATTGTTTTGGACACTTTTTCTAACCCTGTCTGTTATTTAAAGCTTCTAGAGTCCTTCTGTTTTACTGTTGAAGAGGTTGTTTTTTTTTCCCAATCTGGGACCAATGTCTGGACTAGCAGCCATTCATCTTTGTCTCCATCGTGAAACATGCTTGTCTGAAATGTTTAGCTCATACATAAAACAATTAGCCTTTGTGTTGTTGTCTGGAGCAGAGTGTGGCCCACTGTGATTTTTCACTCTTAGACCAGCCTGGATCCAGGTGTGGTCCTCTTCCTTGTGTTTATCCTGCTTGCGGTGATGCTTGACGGCAGACATCGACACCACATCCAAACAGCAAGCTGTGGCTCGGCAGGTTAATCATGAGGACCTTCGGTTGGGGTGGAGGGGCTGTAATGTCCTACAAACAGCCTTCAGCCTTTTCCCTCTGCCCCTTACCGTCACCTCTATTGTTTGTTTTGGCTCCTTTCTTTAGCTTGTGTCGTTCGGGGTCATTGAAAAATGCAGTGCAAAAATAATAATCCAATGTAATTTTTTTTTTTCTTATTTTTGTCTTTTGGGTGGAAAAATGGTTGGATAGATGAGCAGCAGTTGAATCAGTCAGCCTTCTTTAGTAACTTGAAGTTAATTATGAGTAGTCAGCCTTTACTGATTAATTTTTTTTATGCTACATTATTTTATATTTTTGATTCAATTTTAATACCAGACAGATTATTAGAGTGGGCTGAAAATTTAGTTTTCATATGAGGGCTGTATTTCATTAAGTGAAAAATGCTGATCAAACCAACCTCCACTCTTCTTTATAGGATTATTTTCATTTGGCCACACTGTAAAGTTTTTGAGCTAAATTTAAGTCTGGTTTTTGACATTTCAAATCTTTTTTTAAAATTTTTTTTATTTTGAGTCCTTCAGAGCTGGACTTGCTGGTTTACTTAGTATCAGTAGTTATGTTTCCATCCAAATGTCATGTCTCAAAATCAGAAAATTAGAATTAAGCACATTTCCATGTTCTGGTTTGGAGCGAATCAACCAGACTGTGCAAGGCAGGGTTTTGTTAGATGTCGATGTTTAGTGTACCTGTAAATAAAACAGGAAGTAGTTGCAAAACAGCATGAACCACACACCTCAGAAAAACAGAGAGGTTTTCAAGAATGCGTTATTCTGTAATGTCAACCAGCATTGGCAATGTTACATTATGTTTCTGGAGATGTCAGAAACAGCTGATCAGTTTTGTGAGGTTAAATGTTTGCTGCATCACAACCTATTCAGCAAATGCATTTCTATATCCACGTTAGCAAATTAAAGCTTTTCTGAAAAAGCCCCCCCCCCCTCAAAAAAAAAAAAAAAAAACTCCTCAAGTGAACTTGTAAACTGTTTTCTGAAAGAAGTGATTGATGATTGGTCTTTCCATCAACCTTTTTTAGTGTGATTCTCACAGAGCCAGGTTGGTTTGAATTGCTTTTTACCTTATTTAATATAATCATCAAGCAAAACCAATTTGTTTTGTTTTTGCATGATGGGATTTTTAGTCTGGTTGAATTTAAATAGTTTTGAGCTAAAACATCGACGTGTCCCAGATGACAGACATCTGCATCTTTTCACAGCATCTGTTGAGTTTGTCTGTAATGGAATCTGCACTCTGAATTGTTGTGGAAGATGAATTGTAGATTAGACAACCCTAAAAATACAGGCACAGAAGAATTAAATAACTATCTAATACTGGAAGCATGACTCCAGCAGAATATCTTGTTGAACACGACAGCTATGTGTGCTATGGCCAAACATCCTCCTTCCTCAGAGCCACGAATGGAGACGAGCTCACCATCGCAGGCTGAACCTGGAGAATGTTCTTGTTTAAAAGCAGCATTCCTCCCTTTTATAGGGAGGTCTTACATATACACACATTCCAGCCTAAAGCATCCATGTTTGCTTTGTCCAGGTTTATTCCTTTTTAGAATTTCCATACCTTACTGATGGTTGATTGGACTTGGATTGCAATGAATGGAGTAAAGTGTCCTCTCCTCTAGTCTTTAGGACCATGTGGTTGGAGATATCGCTATGATTTTGATCCTCCTTGGCATGTTCTCATCTGTTAAAGGAGTCACGTTTGAAACATTTCATCATCTTGATTTTAGAACATCTGCTTATCTTTTATGTTAAACTAAGATGCTCCATGTACCGCGCTGAGCAAAAGATTTATTTCTTGTCTCTGAATGTGCAATGCATGAGTTGAGGAGTTTAACACTAATGTAGTTGACTCATTTATCTCTCAAAGATATGTATTTATATACAAACTGAACTGGATAAAAACATACCTAATGTATTTTTAGCTCGTATGTTCTTGTTTGGATTCCTAAAATGTTTCTTTTGCAACATAGGAAAGTTCTCCGTGTCTCCATGTTATTGACTTTTCCTGTCCTTGTTTTGCAGAGAGAATAATCGACAACATTTTAACTGAAACAAAGACTTTTGGACTCGGGGAGGACCTCGACAGGTACTCACTCATACCCCCATTACCATCATGTGTGGACTTTTCTCTGAGTTACTAACTTCTGCTTCTTTCCTTCCAGTCTCAGCTGTAAAAGATGCATCATAGTGGGAAACGGGGGGATCCTGTACAATAAGTCTTTGGGCTCCCGTATAGATGAATATGATGTTGTTGTGAGGTAAGATGAAGCAAGTATTAACAAGGGTAGAAAAAAATAAGCACAGTTTTGTGTTTCCAGCTGCAGTAATCATCATCTGTGCCTCAACAGCTCTTAAAATTGGGTTGATGTAACATAAGAACACTGGGGTTAGTATTTGAAGGATTAAACAAAAATGCAGCCATACTGACTGGGAAAGTTAGCTCCAATCCTTTGACTGGTCTTATTAGAACAACTGCAAAATAAAAAAAGTATTTAAATTAAAGACCACTTTTATGAAAGCATTCTGAATGAAAGCATTACATTCACACCAAAGTGTAAAGAGAAACAACTAGGGGCAGGTATTACAGATTTCTGGCCGATAACCGATCTTTAAAAAGCATAAACTGCTAATCCACTTGTGTTTTTTTGTTTTTTTGCATTTTCAAACACTGAACAATATTCACAAGTTGGATAGTTAAGACTATTGATGATCAGCTGTATGTTGCTTAGAAAAATTACAAAAACCCAAGAGCCTCTCATCATTGTGCAGACCTCAGCTAGCATAGTAAATATAGTAGAAACTGTATCGCTTATAGTAGAAAAATTTCTACTATGGGTATTTGTGATAATTTGAGTTTTTCTGACACCATCTAACTCAGACGTGGCGTTCTCCTCAAATAACGCTCAGAATTTGAGTTTATTAATTCAGACAGATCATTGTTGTCTTGGACGTCTTGAGAGTAACATTTAGCAGTGTCCAGATTCCTTTACTAGTATATAGTTGAGCCGTAAATAAAGATTTAATGCATATTGGACTCACTCTGCTTTTGTTGACAGGTTAAACGGAGCCCCAATAGCTGGCTACAAAAAAGATGTAGGGACCAAAACCACATTGAGGATTACTTACCCAGAGGGAGCAATCCAGAAATCTGAACATTATGAAGGCGACTCACTCTTCGTCTTTTCTGCTTTCAAACCAATTGATTTTAAGTGGCTGAAAAACATGGTCTTCAAGGAAAAACTGGTAAGCAGAACATCATGTTCTTCTTTTACTAAAATTCCAAATGCTGTGCTGCTTTGAATCTTTTTTGAGCTTAAGAAAAAACAGATATATAGACACATATAAAGTAAGGGTCTCTGCACATCCTTAAAAAGTCTAAAAAAAATCTTACATTAAAAAGTAAGTTGGCCTTTAATTTGTTGATCACATGTTTTAAAGAACTATTTAATCTTTTCTACATAATGTTTTTCACTCTGGTCTTTCTTGTCATGCAAAGGTTTCAGTCGCACTCAGACATATTTATTGCGTTTTGTGACCTGAGATACTTGAGGTTACCAGTAACTCACTGCTAACATATCCTAGCTGGCTAGCTAGCGTTTTTGCATCTGTTATGGGTAAGTGTGAAATTTTTGGCAGTTGTCCAGTCGAAGTTTGTCCATTTCTATGGAGATATGGATCTTGGATTCCAAACATAATGGTCTTATGCTTTGATTAGTTATGGATATAAAAACAGAGAAAACATGACGTCGATGTTCATGACTGTATAGATCCTCAGTTTTCTGGTCAATTTCACCAACTGAGTTCTTTGCTTGAAGAGTGTTGAGTGAAGATGAGAATTGATGATGCGGCACTGAAGTGAAATGGTTATGTCCTTCCCTTTATGACCGTGGGGAGCTGGAATGCTTTAGAAGCATTAATCCCCCAGTTTAATTCCAAAGACTTTTATATCACATAAGTGAGAGCAAACTGACTGGATTTTATCACTGTAAATTGTGTTGAGCACAGATATTCACAGGAGACATTGGGTTCTTTCTATTCATTGTGATAAATAATTCTATTTTTTCTTTTCCCTTGTGGATCTATTGAGTCAAATTACATTAAGTCCACTCAGCACCCAAGAAAAATGACTTTACTGAGGTTAAACCTGCAACAGTTCCTATACTGAAGGTTATCACCAGAAATAAAGCTGTTGTGCATTTTATCCTGTTATCTATTCATTACAAGTCATAAATACATGTAAGTTTACATGTACATTATTGCGTACTTTTCAATTAATTAATTTTTATTTGTGATAGTGCAACAAAAAAACACACAAAAGAAACAAAAACCTTCATTCAGAATGTCTACTTGAGTCAGTTGGTAGTAAAGACTCCCACTGCAGACTTACTGATCAATTAACCACTTTTGCACCTTTGGTAACAGTTGAAATTTAACTACAAGAGGAGGTAAATTTCTCAGGCTTACATTTAAGTGAACGGAGTTTTTCGAAGCAGGATTGTTCTTTTTAATCAGAAGGCAAAATTTTGCAAAATAACTCCACACAGCTGGGACTTTCACAAACCAGCTGATTTCTCAGACTAACACAAAATGAGAATGAATAAGAAAATAGAGATTAAAACTAGAAATGTATAACATTCTTACTGGATGGACATCAAAGTAAAAGCCAGTTTGCATAATAGTCTGACTCTGGATTAAAGGACAGGGGAAGGGCAAAGATAGAGAGGATAATTGCTGGGAAAAAGAAAATAAGTTGAAGGTAAGCGAATTGGTGGGAAATGGCGTACTTGGCTGGCTGATGGCCTCTCCAGCCTTTGATAGGGCCCAGATTTTCTGGCTTGTCAGTGGGAGAGGACAGTGGAAATGGCTGCTCCGGATAATTGATCTGGCCTCTGGCGTCAGCCTCAATCTCCTTTGAACTGCAGAGGGAGGAAGAAAGTCTCTGGTGGGTGAATAATCAGGGGCAGTCTGCAAAAAAAAAAAAGGAAAAAGAAAATCCTTAAGCAAATGTTTTCTCTTTAAGTCGAGATGAAGGTGTCATTCCTGTTCAGTCTTGTAGAGTTTTTGATTTGACGAGAAGAAGGTCTGTTTTGTTTGTCTTGAGACAGACTCAATTGTTGCAGCAAAGTTTATACTTCAAGGTCTATCGTCAGCGGGTGGATGAGTCATTATGGAAGAAATTATAATCACCATTAGTCTGATCAGTATTGTAATCGGGATTATTAAAACAATTACTCTTTGGGTTATAAAAACAAAAACAAAAAAAAATGTATGGCTGTGACCATAAAACATGAAAGGTGCCGCTGGTATCCTGTCTTCATTGTAGCTGACTTAGAATCATCAAATCAAAGTGCTGTGGAAATATAAAGAGGTAGTTGTCTGTCTAAAGGTTTCTTCTGGGAAATGTTCCAATAATAATGACTCATAAATACTTTCACTTTATTTTGTGCTTCTTTCTTTCATTAAATATTAAACAGGAGGCTGAAGTTTAGGATACAGAGTGGGAAATCCTCATCAAGTCACAGCAAGCTTCTCTCCTTGTTTTTCCATTTTGTAGATCCTGATGCAGTGTCCTTGTGGAGAGTTGTCCGTTTCTAATCGGTGTAGTTGGGAGTTTCTTTTTGTAACCTGGACATTTACAGTTGGAATTGATGCTAAAACCCCTTCACATGTTTTACAATGGAGAAGATTTTCTATTTTATTGGTTCGATTCAATATTAATTTTTCCATGTGTGGAAGCTTGGGTTGCAAAGCCGTGCTGTCTGAAGTGACTCAGGCAGCCGCTGGTACTTGACTCTTCTGAATTGTTATGGCTTTTTACATGCCTGGAGTGCAGGGTTGGAAGTCTGAGCTGGGTCCAGTTAAGAGGGGCAATTTCCCAATCTGCCATTTAGTGTTCTGTATACTCTGCCAAACAAACACATGTTTGTCCCGCCAGCTCTTTCATTCACAAACCTGCAAACTCGGGAGTTGGGGAGTGGATGTTTTCAGGACGACTCCTGGTTTGGAACCGATCAGTGTCCGGGTCTGTTGTACATAATCTGTGGTGCGGCATCAAAAGGCTTCATGAATCCCTCATCACCGCGGCGCTCAGCTCTACAACTCAGCTTTGTCACTCCCCCAAAGTCTGACCCGACGTTTGCAACAGCCTGCCTGATTGCAGCGTTGGATGCTGTTTACTCATGTGCTCAAACGCCATCTCCACACTCGTTGATCCCAAAACTTATTTTCTTTTTCTCAGTATCTTAATTTTTGCCTTGAATTCTCACAGGCAGTTAATGCACTTGCAACCACAGCTGTTTGTATATCGGGGTTATTCTTAAACAGAGCCAGCTAAGGATATACAGCTGGTTGTAAACACAGGGTTTGAAGGTGGAGGGTCGGTGTTCTCTCCCTGCTGTTTGTTTACAGGAGCTTTCCCTGCTCACTCCGAGGCCAAAAGATGAATGATGGATGCAGACAATTTGAGGAAGAGAGCACTTCTCCTTTAATAGAAATAGAGGCAGGGGTTTCTCCTCAGAGGTAGCTAAATGTTATAAAAGGACTAGGATCATAAAAACAATTCCTTGGCAGTATTGGAAAGAGTGTCCAAGGAATTACTAAAAAGTCAAACCAGGCATTACAATCTTCTTGATTAACTTTGGTTTTCTTAAATATTACAATCATAACCCTCTGGTAATCTATGTGTACTTTCCAGATTTTTAAAATCAATAAGCCTGATATTTCTGATCCAAAACGTTGACTATAACTCTTGTCACCGAGGCACAGTGTAGGTGACTAGGCAGATCTTTTGAAGAATAAACATCTGGTAAGCTTCTCCAAAAAACATGGATACATGCAATCGTAAATATTTACATACTCGTAAACAAAATTTTTTTAGCACAAAACGGCTAACGTGCTGCGTGGATGTTGTCAATTAAAACGGCTTTTAAAAATAAAACTCTTGGCATTTGTGCTGAGCTTAAATTTCACTAGGTACACCAGGTACAATATGTGCTGATGGTTTTAGGATCAACATTTTGCACATCATGATGGAGCTTCATACCAGATGGTCTAACTGGATTGTGTGCTTTGCAGAGATAATAAAACCGTTGGGCTACTCCCACAATTTATCATTTTGACTTTTACATCATAATTCTGCACCAGAATAGGCAGATAAATCTGGTCATAAACAATTGCTTAAAATAATAGTTAGAAAATAATGAAAGAAGTTTTTGCTGTGTGTGCAACTTATTAGAGAACAATTATAGCCATTTTCACCAATAAAGATCCAGTATTCAGTTTTTTCAATTGTACAGAGCTCTTCTAGTTGGGTTCAGAGGTATGGTGTGAATTAAGTTTTTGTTAAGGTTTGAGTTGGGGATATTCTTGTAATGGTCCATGTTATGGAAAATGTCTGGGTTAAGGCAGCAGCTAAAAAGAATGGAAGTTGCTATAAAATCCTTGAACCAATAAAAAATATGAGAATTTTTGCGTGTGTGAATCAGGTCTTACTGCAGCTGGCTTTCTGGATGAAGCTGAAACATTCATGCAAACACACACACACTCCTAAGCTGACATGGTGCCCATTTGTACTCTTCTTGGGTAAAATTTCTTATAGTCATAAAACCTTACAAGGAAATTTAAAGATAAATGTCAATTTTTACATGTATATGAAATTAAAATTTTGTGCTTAAATTTGGATATTTTTGTCATGTACAAAGCACCAAATGTGTGGTACTTTTTTCTCTCTTAAATTATTATTATTTTTTTGTTTGTTTGTTTTTGGTTTTGTTTAAAAGGGAAAACCATATGTTCTGTTTTATGATATAGTTGAAGTGAAGTTAACATTTTTTTTTGTATTTTAATATAAAAAGTTTTTTTTTGTTTAATTACAACAGTGGCCATGTAACCAAAATATGGGCAAATTACAATGGTTAAATGACCACACAACAAAAAGGAGTTGGGTCAAAAATGGGAATTGATTTTTACCCATTTCCCAGAAAGCCATGCTGCACACAGAGCTCCTCAGGGTAACAATGTTGTGAAGTGTTTGCTCTGTTTTTACGCTCGCTGTCATGGGAGTGGGTTTCACACACCGGATAACCCAGAGAGAAGCAGGAACTGGGAAAGCACTGTGACCTCTGTGGAGGCAGAGGTCATGGTATATGTCAAAAGACACCAGAGACAAATTGGCGAGTGTTTCAGATTCCAGACGAACAAAAGAGCAAAGATGCTTGGAATTTCATCACTCTTGATTTCACCAACTGTAATCCCTCCTGCTGTGCACCTGAGCTTTTAACACCTTTCTGTTTGCCCTTTCAAACAATCTCTCTGTAATGATTTCTCTTCAGTGGAACTCGTATGTGGTGAGAAACTGCACCTTGTAAATCCAAATGCTCTCTGCGTACTCACCCCTAAAGACCTCCAGACAACCTTAATTAGGATTGTTCTAAGTTCTTTGCTGCTGTTTTGGTTTTTAAATTGCTTCAAGTCGGCCTTCCGGAATTCAGTCCTCCTCATTTAAGTTATCCACTTCATAAAAAGCCAACACAACCACATCCTCACCCAGTTGTTTACAGGATTGAAGAACCCAGCTAGAGCCGAACGGTTCGATAGTTGTCTAGGATGCGAGCACATCTGCCTCTCCAGATGTATTATCTAATTATTGTCGACAATTTTCAAAATTAGGTCATAACTTTAAGAGCGAACACTTACCGTGCCTGGTGTGAGGACAGTTAAGCTCCCCTCCTCGAAGTCTGTTTACAGAAGGCTGTAAAACCACCTGTAGGAACCAGCATATGTGAAGGAAAGCCTTCCTTATCTGCAGTGTTTCAGTGCCGTTCATGGCTGCTGTAATTTTCCCTCAGCCCCAGAGGAGCCATATATTGAGCTATCTGTTTCATTTGACACGAAGGAACATTTTTGTTAAAACGGGAGTCGGGTTTCATTGGCTTGCGCCACAAAGAAATTTAAGCCGCAGTGGAACCTAACTACACTTTAAGCTGTAAAAGCAAGGCTAGAAATTGTACAGTTTACTTATTTAGACATTTTACATCTGTTTTGGAAAGCATGTATTTAATTTTATGTGACAGGAAAAGGATGCAAGGGATAATGGGTATGCCCAGCCTAATTTAGGAACTTCACCAACGTTGTAACTTTTGACATTTTCTTTTACATTTTTTCTTTCTCGTCACTCTTCCATTCAGGCTGGATCACTGTTTCCTTTGGTTTGGTCACCAGTTTCGCTTCTCCTTGTAGGATTTTTACCTCACCCAAACTATTGTCTGCACTAATCCTTTGCTTTAATGTCTTTATTTGATGGTTTCTGAAGCTGTGATTGTCCTCCAGCTTTGAGATTGCATGGCAGATACGCTTAGCCTTTACAAAGCTACAGCTCTTGATGACAACACCGCTATAGAGGAACTCATGTGTTATTAGATGCAGTTTGGCAAACTCAGTGATGGTATGCTCACAGGTTTCTGGCTTATACAAACTATCTTTATTTGTTTAACTTTTCCACTTTGAAGACTCCACCAGTCTTCAAAGAGGATGTTAATGGATCCTATGACTGTTTCCGTTAAATGAAAATGAATAAGGGTAATTAAAAGGATCCATCTTTAGATATCGCAAAACTTGTAAACAGCTTTATCCTTATAATCCTCTGGTAATTTCTTTATTTTTGTCTGGTAATCTCTTTCCAATAATTTAACACAGATAACAGTGAGCCTTTTGATACCTATCCTGAGAGCTTCAGTGCTCCTGAACAAAGCATTTATTCCACTTGGTGAACATTTTATGGTATAGTTAATTCATTTTACTGTTGCAAGTGGTTTATTTATGTTTGTTGAGGTAGACTGTGCCGTCGTTGTTATCATTGGATAACTGCATTTGACCAAAGCTCACATTTTTTCACCTTCCTCAAAAAGTGGCCTGTTTTGTCAAAATGGATTTTCAGCAAAACAATCACCACCTCTTTGTTGCCAAAAGACAATTTTAGGCAAAAAAAAAAGAAGGACTTTTTAGGAAAGTGATAATTTGAAGTTCCGTAATGCAGCACTCATAGTGTGCAGCATGCTTTAATGACAGCAATGCAACTCACCAAGCTAGCGATGTTAAAGAATGACCTTACTTTAGATTGTTTGTTTCCTGTTTTGGTAGATGCTTTCACACAGACAGGAGTGTTAATGAGGAGTCCAGCCTTTCCTTTCTAGATGAGTCAATCTCCTTGAATTCATTTGCTGAACTGAAATTGTAAACCTTGGGATTCATTGTTCGTTCATACCAAGATGTTTTTTTGTTTTTGTTCTAAGGTCTTGACGTGTTGTTGTCAAGCTGGAGAGGTAAATGTTCTTGCAATCTTACAACAGATGACTCTCATTAATCTAGGTTTAACAATCTAATCAGAAAACTATGTTGGTGTCACAATCTTGTGGGTAAAAAAAACCTCAATGTGGGTTTATCCTCATAACTTTCTTAAATTTAGTCAGGAATAAATGCATCACACCACACACCTTGTTGATACACAGATATGAATAAATAGGGACACCCTATAACCTGTTATTTTTCTAACTTATTTTAACAATTAATTACTAAAACAAAGCTATAAAAGCTGACAGGTATATATGAAATTCAAAGGAAATCTGCAATAGAGGAAATGTGGGACTCTGTTATACATTTTGACCCAGAGATGGAAGGAAGTACAGCGATAACTCATCAAGCTCGCGATGCTGAAGTATCACCTTAATTCAGAAAAGATTCAAGTTGATTGCTCCGAAGCCTGGTGAATTATAATAAAATCCTTTTACCAAGTGCCTAAGATTTCCACGCCTCATCGGCACTTTGCATTTTAAAGAAATCCTTCATCTCGAACACAGATGTTCAAGATGAGGTGTCATCAGTACACTAGCCCTGATGACACCATTAAAGAGACTAGGACACTACTCAGATACCCCTGCTCCCCTGCTCGCATTGTCTCCACTCTGTTATCCAACATTTTTTATTACTTACGAGAATTCACCAAACTCTCCATTTCCTCTAAATTGTCTTGCCATATTTCTTTACTCTAAAGTCTCATAAGGTGTTGCAGGATTTTAGGGGAGTTCCTGTCTGGAAACTGAATGCTGGTGAGTGGTACCAGTGTGTGTGTGGTGTGTTCCTCCTGGTGTCTGGCCAGACAACACACACTGTACGGTTATCGTCAAGTGTCTGTCAGGTTATGAAAATGACCTGACAGACACTTTAGATTAGAAATGACCTGGGCATTTACTACGTGTAATAGTTTTTAGTCATTTTTTTATGTACAATGGAGACATTTTATGTCAGATTAATAGAAATATTGAGCACAATGTGGTTCTAAATTAACTTTAATTCAGGCAACTTGTCACATATAGCTTAATTTTCTGAGCTGAATTTTCTCTATATAGAGCAATATTTTGATTTTTCTGTGTTTGTTTTTTAGCCAGTAGAATTCAGTGGAAGATGGAAGTCTAGAAGTGACAGGGGAAAACAAAGGATGCAGGTGAGAAAGTTGCCAGGTGATCTGAGATGAGGCCACAAAATGATTGCCATGTCAGGAGAGTTCACATTTCCACTTTGTTGTGTAATCCAATAGTAAAATGTTCTTAAATATAGCTATTCATTCACTGGCAGTATACCGTTTTGTTCTGGTTATTAGCTTGTTTTCTACTTTATATGAAATTCAATAATACATTTTCTTATGTTCAAACTATAAAGGTAGTGATGATGACGAAAAACGGGCTAAAGTACAAGATTGTCAAGAAAAAGGTGAGGAATAGAAGAGTGACGAGGTAAAAACACACTGTTGCCTGTGTGTGTGGAGTTATTATAGAGATCACAGGAGATTGTCAGCGTCTATTCCAGGGGTCGGCAACCCGAGGCTCCGGAGCTGCATGCGGCTCTTTAGCGCCGCCCTAGTGGCTCTTTGGAGCTTCATCAAAAATGTTTGAAAATGGGAAAAGAGGGGGCTGGGAAATATTTTTTTTTGTTTTAATATGGTTTCTGTAGGAGGACAAACACGACACAGTCATTCTTAATGTTTTCCAATGCTATAAAAATGTGTAGAAGAAACATTCAATTCTGCAATTCTTGGACCGAATCATCTGCATTCATTGCCAGTGTGGAAGAATTGCCTGAATGTTCGCTCTGCAGCGACAAGTTGTCAAATAACTAAAAGAGTACCGTAATTTCTGGAGCGCACCTCAATGAAAGCCGAAACTACACATTTTTTGGAAAAAAATTAAAAACTGAAAACATACATAAATAAGCGATACAGTAATTTTCATCAGTATACATTTAGAATGACACTCAGCGATATTGTATTGTGTCATTGCTCAGGTCGGGTTGCTCATGGCTGCTTTGTGTTGCTATTGCACTGATTTGCTTGGCATTTGCACATAAATTGAACTTAAACTCTTAATTTTATATACTTTACGTTTTCAAAAGGCTGCCGTTTTATTACACTCCGTTTGTTGTTTTTTTGATCACAAGCTTAACGGTAATTATTCACAAAGAGCGATCGTCGTTATGCAAACTACATTTCGGGGGCAGATTTTCTGTGATCCAAAAAGGGAAAAAAATGACGCTTTCCCTGTCTCTCTTCATAATAAAAATGATATCAAGAATCTGATTTCTTTATTGCGTTTCTTTAATTTTGTAAATGCATTCATATTGTAACAGAAGGTTAACTTAAAGCACCATCGTACAACTGAAGAGTCACGTGATGCGTCATTCCTTCCAGGATGCACTGCAGGGAAAATAAGCATTTAATCATGAATACTAATTATGTATACATTTAGTCATTTTGATAATACGCTAATATAAACACCTAGAGCCTGTTTTGCCTTCATTATAAGCCTTATATACAGCTTTTACTTTTTTGCGGCTCCAAACAGATTTGTTTTTTGGGTCCAATATGGCTCTTTCAACATGTTGGGTTGCCGACCTCTGGTCTATTCAAAGAGTGTCAGATCAACTGAGTGCAAAAAAGATCCTTTCAGAGTACGACATGTTTAACTGGCTGAAATTATCAGTGGTAAGTCATACACACGTCACTGTAGCGATTCTGTTGCATCCATTTGAGAACACAGCTGCTCATTTATCAACTGAAGCTTCCTGAGGCAGTGGTCAATATGTGCTGTAAAAGTACTCAATTTATCCAGTCATTTAAAACTTTGTTGGGGGGATCTTCCATTGTAACTAGGTTACCTTCACCCTGCAGACTTTACTGCTCAATTCCAATTGTTTTGTGAATTCTGAGTTTGAAAAATAAAGAAACTTGTCTAAAAAGCAACTTTTTCCTAAAAAAGAAAAAAAGAAATGCTCAGTGTTTGTATAAGTAAACACGAATGCTAACGGAGGGAAGGAGCTTATCTTACGTATTTAACATGTCCAACACATTAAGAACTTAATCCTCATTATGGTTTGTCCCGTTTGTTTTTCTTCCAGCTTGCACATATCAGGACGCAGAATAGTAAATATTTGTTGCATATGATTGAATGCGACCTGGCCGTACAGACTCGGGTCACATTTGAAAAGCTTGGATATGCATCGGATTTAAAACACATGTCCAAGTGGTTTGGTCACATTTGTAAAAATATGATCTATGTTTTTCAGACTGTCATGAAAAGAGCAAAAAATAATCATATTTGGCTGGAATGCATTTGATTGTGGGTTTATTTCATTTTAATGGGGAGTTTGTGATGAATAGTTGCTATTTTTTGACCTGAAAACTGGCATTAATAGAAGGCAGTGTAATCAAAGTATTTATATTTTTTTTCTAATGCAGCTTGACACCATCAGAATGTGAATGATTAATTCACTGAATGTCGTGTGAAGCTCTTTAGGTTCCTCTGGACTTGATAAACCGCTACACAAGTACAAACCATTTACGATTTTATACTCAGTTTTCACCGCCCAAAAGTGTTGCATCTTCTAAGAGGGCATTAAATTCTGGCACCATTTGAGCTCAAATGGTGTTCTGACTGCAATCAACTTTCCATCTGGTGTTTTCACTTCCCTTGGTGGGGCAGATGTGTCTTCATACCTGAACACAGCAGTTCCATTAGCACAGTTCAGAGTCGTTTGTCAGTAGCAAAAACAGAGGAGCCTTGGTCACAATTTTAAATCCTCTCTTGTCGGGGTGCACTGACTGCAGTTTTTCTGGTCGATCACTGATCTTTAAAAATCCTGACCTGCCAACACTGGACATGAACAATTTTTTGTTGTTGTTTTGTTTTGTCTGAAATGTCACTAAAAATAGCAAGAAAGTTGCTGCGTTGGTAACAGTGAGGTGACTGTTGTTAACTACAAACGTGCATGGACTGTTTAGTCTCTCACAGCAGAGCAGAAGAGGACAGTGGGTGATGTTTAGACCTTTGCTGAAGTAGATGAAAACGGTGGATAAGATCAGCTTCTTGTTTAAGTATCAGCCAATCACCCATCTCCCAAAATTGAAGAATAGAATAGCATTTATTGTCATTGAACAGGATTCAACAGCACCAATAAATCAACTGGCCAATAAATCTTTGCACCCCTAATCTCTTATGTAAATTGAGCAAGTACTCAATTTACCTTGGCCGCTATGATGCCTGACATGTGGCTGACTTTAAAAAATTAATATAGCATATGTGTGTGTGTGTTTTCTTTTGCCTTGCTGACAGAAATTTGCTGTGACTGAACATGTCATTGTTTACATAATGACATAAATTAATTTTTATATAGCATATCTAATAAAATGATCACACAAACAAAATATAACAGTGGTAGTTTGAAATATGGATAGACACAGACTTGAAAGAGCAGTTTTTTAAAAGCAGGAACAGGAGGAAGAAGGCCCTAATGTTTCAAAACCCTAAAAACACCCCTCTCCCAAAGTTATGTTTACTTCACCGTCCTGCAACTTTTTCCCCAAAACACTTCTCATAACACTACTTTTATTTTATTTTATTTTTTTTAACAACCCTCCCTTCTGACAACATTGAATCACTCCATTCTAAATTCTGAATAATTCTGAAAACCACCAGTACTCTTGCTTTTAAGTCTTCAAAAAGTTTTCCGCCCTGTGATATTTTTCTTTGTACATCGGGTCATTACTCTGTAGAGCTTACGGGTGTGTGTTGTCATGAGTTTCTCTCCTTCCTAGAATAAAGGGGGAAAAAAAGCATCATCACTCTCTTTAGTCAGTGCACACAGACATTTAAGTAGTACAGCTAAAGAGATTCCTGGCAAACACAAGCTGTGTTGACAGGAGAGATGAGCTGCTGTTCCTGTTGCAGCTCGCAAAAGGCTCAGAGCTGGGCGCACATTCAAAGTGAAGCCACAAAGTCAGCAGACTTGTTGCTACTGCCTGTGTTAACCACCATATATATACACACACATGCACGCACACACACTTTCTCTCTTTTTAGGAGAGGTACAATATTGTATCAAAGGTGGCACGGTGGGTGCTCGGTTGTTTGAACAGGTGATTCCCATTTACATGTACTCACTTTATTAGCTTTTTGCCTTTAGGAATCCACATCATCACACAGTACCAGGTTGTTCCCAGCTTCTCTCCCTGGAGTGCAACAAATTTGACAACTAGACTTATTTCAAAAAAATAAAAAAATCATTAAAAAGCATTAAAATGAAGAGCCAGTGAAATTATCACCAAAGCACCTGCTAGTGGTTATGTGTTGGCCAGTTACAAGTACAAAAATTAAAAAAGGTTTTAAAAAGTTACGATTTTAAAATGGCTGAAATGTTTCATTCCTGTGGTTTAAAGTCACTTATGGAGGTTCCAGAGAACATGTCGGTCTGAAATTTCCTCCAGCTCTGTGGCGTATGGAGGAGCATACTGCTGCAGTCCTGTGCACTGCCAGACAGCTAACTGAAAGAAGGTTACAATCCTTTTTCTTTACATACATGACAAACTATTTCAGTTTTTCAGAATCATTGCCGTTAGTCATCCTTCCTAACAGTGTTTTAATACATTTCACTTTTTAAACTCGTAAAAAAACGGATCATGAATTAATTTTAATATGTTGGAGTCATATCATTCACTTCATTGGATTGTCTTAAGTTCTACTTGAACATAGTCCTGATGTGGTATTTTCTTTAATATTGTACTCATACAAGTAAGAAATTGACAGACATTGTTACCATTTAACCACTAAGAGTATTCAAGACTGAATGTCTGGATGAGGGGGACAATTTTGAACTTGATTAGACTTTTTCTTTCTTAACAATTTGAAAAACAAATTCTTTGATTTAAATAGTATGCTTAAAAACAATAGCTTAGCATATATATATATATATATATATATATATATATATATATATATATATATATATATATATATATATAGTACATATATAAAAAATAAAATTCCCTTCTCACCCGCGGGTGGTTCTTATCCTCTGAGCTCGGGTCCTCTACCAGAGGCCTGGGAGCTTGAGGGTCCTGCAGTATCTTGGCTGTGCCAAGGACTGCTGCACATTTCTGGACTGAGATGTCTGATGTTGTTCCTGGGATCTGTTGTAGCCACTGCTCCAGTTTGGGGGTTACTGCCCCGAGGGCCCCAATGACCACAGGCACCACTGTGGTCTTCACCACAGGCCCTCTCCAGTTCCTCCCTGAGGCCCTGGTATTTCTCCAGTTTCTCGTGCTTCTTTTTCCTGATGTTGCAGTGGCTTGGTATTGCTACATCTACACAACAGCTTTCCTCTGTTGTTTATCCACTATGACAACGGCTTCACCCTTACCATTTTGTCTGTGGATCTGGAAGTCCCACAGGATCTTAGCTCTGGCGTTCTCCACCACCTTTGGGGGTGTTTTCCACTTTTATCTCGGGGTTTCCAGTCCATATTCTGCACAGATGTTTCTGTACACTATGCCTGCCACTTGGTTATGTCGCTCCATGTACGCTTTCCCTGCTAGTATTTTGCACCCTGCTGTTATTTGCTGGACTGTCTCAGGGGCCTCTTTGCACAACCTACACCTTGGGTCTTGTGTGGTGTGGTAGATCTGGGCCTCTATTGCTCTGGTGTTTAGGGCCTGTTCCTGGGTGGCCAGGATGAAGGCCTCTGTGCTGTCCTTGAGTCCAGCTTTTTCCAGCCATTGGTAGGACTTACTGATATCAGCCACTTGGGTTATTTGCTGGTGGTTCATCCCATGTAGGGGCTTGTCCTCCCATGATGGTATCTCTGGCACCTCAACCTCTGTTCCCTGTTGTCTGAGACATTCACTGAGCACATTGTCTATTGAAGCTTTGTCCCTGATGTATCTATGGATCTTAGTTGTTTCGTCCTGGACAGTGGTTCTCACACTCTAGTCCTCTGCCTCCTTCCTTGCGGCTCGTGTACAGTCTCAGGGTGCTGGATTTGGGGTGGAACCCTCCATGCATGGTTAGTAGTTTTCAAGTCTTAATATCTGTGGCTTTTATCTCCTCCTTTGGCCAGCTAATTATTCCAGCAGGGTATCTGATTACTGGCAGGGCATAGCTGTTTATCGCACAGATTTTGTTCTTGCCATTGAGCTGGCTTCTCAGGACTTGCCTTATTCGTTGGAGGTATTTAGCTGTGGCTCCCTTCCTTGTGACCTCATCGAGGTTGCCATTTGCTTGTGGTATACCTAGGTACTTGTAACTGTCCTCTATGTCTTCTATTGTTCCTTCTGGGAGTGAGACCCCTTCTGTGTGAATGACCTTCCCCCTCTTTGTGACCAGCCGACCACACTTCTCTAGTCCGAATGACATCCCAATGTCCGTGCTGTAGATCCTGGTGGTGTGGATCAGTGAGTCGATGTCTCGCTCACTCTTGGCGTACAGCTTGATGTCATCCATGTATAGAAGGTGACTGATGTTGGCCCCATTTTTGAGTCCGTATCCGTAGCCAGTCTTGTTGATAATTTGGCTGAGGGGGTTCAGGCCTATGCAGAACAGTAGCGGGAACAGACCATCTCCTTGGTATATGCCACATTTGATGGACACTTGTGCAAGTGGTTTGCAGTTGGCTTCAAGGGTGGTTTTCCACAGCCTCATCGAGTTTGCAATGAAGGCTCTCAGAATCCTGTTGATGTTATACATCTCTAGGCATTCAATGATCCAAGTATGCGGTATTGAGTCATAGGCTTTCTTGTAATCAATCCAAGCCATGCACAGGTTGGTGTGTCGGGTTATGCAGTCTCTGGCAACTGTGTGGTCTACGAGGAGTTGGTGTTTGGCTCCTCTGCTATTTACATCGATACCCTTCTGTGCCGTCCTCATGTGTTTATCCATGGGTTTGCTTATCTTGGCCGCTATGATGCCTGACATGAGCTTCCAGGTTGTGGAGAGGCAGGTTATTGGTCGGTATTTGGGTGGGACTGGATCCTTTGATGGATCCTTCTGGATTAGGATTGTCCGCCCTTCAGTTAACCATTCAGGGTGAGTCCCACTTTCATTTGGGCTGCCAGTCGCTCATGGAGGGCAGTGAGTTTCTTTAGCCAGTAGGCATGGATCATGTCAGGCCCTGGTGCAGTCCAGTTTTTCATACCTGAGACTCTTTCTTGGACATCACTGGGGCTTGCTCAGGGAGGTTGCTGTGGTCCTCTCGTAGAGAGATCAGCCACTGTGCATTGCTGTTGTGGGACGCCTCCCTTTCCCATATGCCTTTCCAGTATTGTTCAGTCTCCAGCCTTGGTGGGTCTGCTCTGTTGTTATTACCCTGCCATTGAGAGTACACCTTAGCTGGTTGAATGGAGAAGAGCCGGTTAATCCATCTGGCTTCATTCTCCCTTGTGTATCTCTTTAGGTGGCTGGCCAAGGCTTGGAGCCTCTGTTTAGCAGTTTCAAGGGTCGTAACAACACACACACACACATATATATATATATAAATAAATTTATATACATATATATATATATATATATATTATATATATATATATATATATATATATATATATACTTCTCCTTCCTGCTCACCCAGTGGGAAGGAGAAGTAACATTAAAGAAACCTAGATGTTAAAGGTTTAACAGTTTGGGGTTTATTGTTTGGGTTTAACAAAATAAAAAGGTAAAAAAAAAAAAAACGAACTGCAATCAAAAGTACAGAATTAGATATGTATAGATCCATCCATCCATATCCTCTGTCGTCACCAATAGTCTTCCACTGTTGCCATCTTACAGACTTTTATGACAAACAAAAAAAACACTAAAATTGGAATCAACAGATCAGGATTTTAAAAGATTGCTAATCAGCCAGAAAACTGCATCATTATATGCTGAATTTCTATTCATATTGAGAACTCAAAAAAGCTTTTACACAATAATTAGTACATGCAGTCTTTTTGTCTGTTTTGTTTTTTGCTATTCTTTTTGGACATGCGTAACAGATTTGGGTGAATGCTGTTTTCAGATTTCTGCTCAGTGACCAAATCTGTAAAATTTTATGTGAAAAAGCCTGAATTTGATTGATGGGTTGTATTAGATTTTGCTGAACCGATAGTGTCATAAAAAATGTATTATATTGAGGTTGATAGCCAAATTGTGGAGCTGTATATCATTAATCTGAAGTGGTTGATATACATAATATATCCAATGACTTTCACCTTGCTTTGTACATGTGACAGTGCAATGACAATAAAGTTGAATTCTATTCTAAAATAATAGGCAAAATTATTTTTTGCCCACAAAAAGAAGAAAAAAATCACTTTTGTCAAAAATATTACTTTGACCATTATTTTGGGAAAGTGACACTATTCTAGAAGCAAAACATTTTTTTTCCTCTTAGAAGTCATTGCCAGGCCAAATTCAGAAGAATAAAATCCTACTGTGAATTGACAGAGATCACTTCATGTTTAGCAGTCAGTTTTATATATGACAAATACGAGGTGATACTTAAATTTGTGAGCAACATCAAAAGGTATAGTTTTAGAAGAATTGGAATACATTAAATACTTGTTATTCCTGAGCATTTTCCTAAGTCTACTAAACCTTTAAAGGATGTTTCTGTATTTTAATATCTACTAAAGACTCCAGGACGTTGGCAGCTCTCTCAGGCGGTTAAACATATTTTCTGACAGCTCATAATTACTGATGTTCTGCGTGTCCTCTGTCCTTACAACATCTATTAAAGGCCAGAAAGCCATTTCCTTAATGACTAGTAGAAAGGCCTTGGCTCCTGCTTAGCTTCTGCGTTCCATGTCAGTTCTACATAGGTAAGTGTGCTGTCATGTTTTCTCAGTGAACCTCATTGCCTGTCTCCAGTTGAGTCATGTTTCCATTAATTTGTCTGGCTGGGACAAAAAGTAGTCTACCACTGATGTTCTAAATGACTAATGCACAATGTTCTCTTTTTCTCCCCTGTTTCCTTTTCAACAATCAAGAGTCGTATGGAGGGCTTCTGGAAGTCTGTAGCCCAGCATGTGCCTCGGACGCCAGCTGAAATGAGGATCCTCAACCCATACTTCATCCAGGAGGCTGCATTCCAGTTCATAGGCCTGCCATTTAACAATGGTTTAATGGGTAAAGGGGTAAGATGCTCAAAGTGCCAGATTCACATCTTTTCACAGTTCTAACACTTCTTTTAATTGGATACTTGAAGTATTTGTGTCCCTTTCAAGGGCTGAACCCATGTACCTCAGAGCGGTCATAATTTGAAAACTCATCAAACTAGTGAAAGAAGGGAGAAGGGCAGAATTAGCAGCGTCAGTCAACTCATTCTAGGTAGTTGGAAAAAGATGGGAATGAAACTGCACCAACAACCACTAAAGGAAACGACACAAGTACAACTTCCTCCTTCATAAAATGTAAACAAAAATGGTGTTGCATCAGATTTTAGTTGTAAGATTTATTTGTACGTGGGCCTCAACCTCCTCGTCACTCCATGTCTGACCACGAGCCATTTCTCCTGCTAACACTAGACAGACATGCGTTTGTTTTGGTTGTATTTACCCAGAATGCCCTGTGCTATATTCGGCTTCCTGCTGTTGGGGCGGTGTCCGGTCCGCTTGGCGTTCACATTTGCATTGGAAGTGCACCAGAATTCACTTAAACCAAATGGAGACCTGGTTTTTAGGTAGGCCACGCTTTGTTTTTTTTAGTCCCTGACAAAGTTTGATTCTGTATTCACGCCTCCCAAAACAAACCGGACTTCATGAGCTAGAGTTTGATTAAAATGGACTAAACAGGGCCAGTCTGAATGAACCCTTAAGAGTTAGACACACACACCGATGGAAAAACCCATGATGGGAGCTTTGTTACTTGGTGATATCTGCTTTACCTTGTAACTCAACAAATCTGGGCAACCACCTGAAACTAAACACAGTAACCTTTGACTGGTCCATAATAAGTATGGATTGACCAATATGAAAATTGGGGCCAATATTCAGTATGAGTTTTGCCCACAGCAATATTCCTGAATAAATATTTGTTTTTATATGCACATCAGTAACCTTTCGTCATCTTTAAATAAACAGACACACTGCTGACTTCGCCTCTGCTTCAGTTAAACTCCCCACAGTCCTGCTCTGCATCCTGTCATAGTACCAAACAAACACGTAATCAATCTCCTCCCCTCCAGAATAAAACAACAACCAGATTAAAATAAAATCCTGTTTTATTTATTATACTGATACTAATGGGTGTTAAAAAATCACCAGTATTATTGCCATCCTTACTAATAAAAGAATTTTTAACCATACACAAAAATAAATTTAGCTTGGTGGATAAAAATATGAAGAAATTTGATTTGTCAAATAAGTCGATGTTTAGTTATGATTATTTTTAAAAAAATATTTCTTCTGCAGTTTAGTTCTTCGATATTTTCAATTGATTTCCAGTTTGTGTTTTTTTTCTAGAAGATGTTAGACACTTAGAAGTTAAATTTTTTCTATAATGTCTTACATTTGAGTAACACTTTCAGCTACCGTATTTTCCGGACTATAAAGTGCACCTCACCATAAGCCGCAACTACAAAAAAAAAAAAAAAGAGAAACGTACATATATGAACCTCTGGTATTTCCGTCGCTCTCGATTTTTCACAAGGATGCAGCAGAGGGCTGCATCCTTAATAAATCTGCTATTAAAGACGCAGCCCTGTGTCTCTGACGCCAAACCCTGGATTCATTCACGCCAAGCTTACGTGCAGCAGCTATCGATCTGCACTGCCAAATCAATAGCTTTCAACTTAAAACCGGCATCGTATGAACTTTTTCGTGTTGTTTCCTTGATGAGAGGGTATGAGTTTGAAAACATTTCTTCGTCGTGCCTGCTGCTAGCATGTCCTTGTTTTAAAGCAAAATCAGCACATTCAATTTCCAATTTTGACTTCCAATGATCCATTTCCTTGCAGTTGAAGAAAAGTCCACTGAATAGCTGCACTGGGCTATAAGCCGCATAGTTCAAAGCGTGGGAAAAAAGTAGCGGCTTATAGTCAGAAAAATACGGTACTTCGAGGAAAGGTTGTACAAGAAGTTTCTGGAAAAAATGTTGTGTTAAATGTACTGTACTAAATGCAGCAAATGTATTTTGCTTCCAAATTCAGTGAATAATAATCTAAATAATTGTGGGTTTCAAATAATTTGAATAATATTTCTTTTCCTAATAGAATGGTAGCATATGTTGCATTTGCAGATACTTTGTGTGTGCTCTGCAGGAGAATATTGTTAGAGAATTAGAGGCAGCATGAGGACTGTATCACCCTAACTCTGCCATGTGGGTTTACCACAACACCCTACATGAACATCACCCTGAAACATGTGTTAAACATGTGGCTTTATGCTTGTGCTTGTGTGTGTGTTTGTGTGTGTGTGTGCGCGTGTGTTTGTGTGTGTGTGTGAAAGGAGGAGATAATGAGTTTGTGTTTAGATTTTTGTGTGTCTGCCTTGCTGTGTTGTACACTTCAGGCTGTAGACTTATGTGATCTGGCACATTTTGTTTTCCCCAATAATACTTCACAATTTCTCCTCTAAACCCTGTACTAAGTGTTTATGGACATGGAAATTAATGAGGAGATCTATTTGTTCTGCATGTGTTTGATGTTGAGTGTGCGTGCCTGCGTGCGTGTGTAAAATAATCGCGATTAGAACACGCAGTAGGAGGTTAGCCAGCTGTTGGTCCAGCTCCACCAACCCTGAGGGCTGCAAATCAGGGTAATGATTTAAATAGGACCTCCTTGCACTCTCTGCTCCACCTGCATGTTTTAGTCCAAGGCTGATGTTTTTTTGTTGTTTTTTTTTCCCCCTTCCTTCATCCAATGTCCACTCCCTCAATCATGCACAGAAAACATGTGTAGAACCAGAATCTCTGGCAGCCCAGGGCGATTAAGAAGCACACTTCAACCTTGTACATCACTGTGTTGGTGGGGGGTGGAGGTGAGGGAAGGTAGGGGTGCAGGGGCTTCAGGGGTCACATCTTTAAGGTAATAGTTAATCACCAAGTGCTCACATTCAGTTAGCAGCAGTGGAGCAGAACAAAGCCAGGAGTGCACAGCAGGCACAGAAGCGTATCTGGCTGCTTGATTAAGACAAAAATTATTGTCATAATAATTTTTAGTTTAAATGAAAGCAGAAAGTTTTTATTAATCTTTCACTTTGTTATGAGTGGAACTAAACCTGCCACAGCCTGACTGCAGTTTCCTTTCAGCAGAGCAACGAAGGCATACTGCTCCAAAACACTGGGACTCTGTGGGCTCAATGCACAAGTCTGAACTAAAGTTGTAATTTTGATAAACAACCCAAAAAAAAAGTTTATCTCAGTTATCTAGATGTCATAATTAGAATTGAACATAAGCATTCTTAATTGCTCTTGCTTACAACCAAATGTGGTTATGTGGTGGCTTGTCTGCCTGTTTGTTTGCAGGATTTGCATAAAAATATTCCTCAGGGGGCAGAGTGGAGCGGGTTGTATGTGATTAACTTTTGATGACAGTCCAGATCTTGATCTGGGGATTTTTTTTGTACTTATTCAGCCTTACTGAAGGCATGCAGTTTGCATGTTAACGTGTGTGTGTGCGTGTGCGTGTGTGTGTGCGTGTGTGTGTGTGCGTGTGCGTGTGTGTGTGTGTGCGTGTGTGTGTGTGTGTGTGTTTCTCTATGCCTGTGCTGTAACCACTTCTCTGTTTTTACTGCAGAACATTCCAACTTTGGGAACAGTTGCTATAACCATGGCACTGCATAACTGTGACGAGGTGGCAGTGGCTGGCTTTGGCTACGACATGACCTCTCCTCAAGCACCTCTGCACTATTATGAGAGCGTCAAGATGTCTGCCATTAAAGAGGTGAGTTTCGTCTTCACTACCCTTTTTATTCTGGACATGACAGAATTCTTTGATTTAAATCATGAACAATGGGAAGGCATATTACTTCTCAACAGAGTCTGCAACCTTTCAATCCTAAGTGCCATTTTATCCAGCTAGATAAAATCTGTTCAGACCAACTAATGTTAAATGAGCTTTTGGAAAAAGACAACATAAATTTGACATCTCTAAAGAACCACCATGTTATTTCTATTTTTAGGCTTTAAAATGAAGAAAAATATAAAACATTTGCAACAAAAAAAACTATTGTTTTAAAAGTGTAATTTTAACCTAATGACCGGTTAAATGAATATAACTAATATTAATGGCACAATTAGTCATTCTATTGTGAAAATATAACAATAATTTTATGAAGTAACTAGAAGCTGATAAAACCTTCATTTATGTTTAACATAAAACATGTTTAGCATAAAACATGTTTAGCATAAAACATTCTTGTTGACTCTTTTTTCAGCAAAGTAGTTAAAGTTGTAACTTTTATTAAAAATGTTTTTAGCTCGTTTTGTTAAAACTGTCTTTATGTTCAGACAGTATAACAAGAGATGGATCAATAGATCTGTTTAAAAAAAGAAATCTGTTAAACAATGTGCAAGCTTTTGTATTTAAATGATGCAGTCAAAAGATCTAAACCACATTTTGTTAAAAAAAATTAAAAATTACAAATTAAATTCACATTGTAATAAATGAGCAGCTCTGCAGGCCCTCCTGTGATAAAGCATCTTCAGAGTCCCTAAACTTTTGAACTTGATGCTCGGTTTGATATCTAGGATCTGTTGGAATATATGTCTGGATTGAATATGTTTTTATTTCAAGTGAGATGACGTATTGTGAATATGCGACATACTAATAAACTGACTTGAATTTTAAAGAATCTGTGAGATACAAGATATTTCAGCTTATCTTGTTCATGTGTTGTAGTCTTTGTCTAAATTTATGGTGATCTTGAGGGCAAAAAGCTATTAAGGTAAACTACTGGTTAATGTTTCATAAACTTGAGGCTTTTGCATTAGATAATCTCTGTTCAATTTCATAATAAATCAGTTGAAGGTTGATCTAAGATTTTTCATAATATAATATGGAGATGATCAAATTCACTCGTGAACTAGTCCTGTAGCAATCGGTGCCGCCCACTGTGCATGTGACGTGCTTTTCCACTCATCAGAATTCCTTTGTTCAGGCCATAAGTTTGGAACTTTGAAGCTTTGTATCCACCACCCTGGAGCTGTCCAGGTTTGGTCCTGGTGATCGGTGCTTTAACAGAGGAGAAATCCTAAAAAAGCTATTATGAGATTTATTTTTCCTCCCTAATGTCTTTGTTTCTTTATTACTATCTTCTAGGCATTAAGACAAAGCTAACCGGTTAATTAAATAATGAATTAAATTCCGCAACGGCAAACCTGATACCACTTTTCTAATGAAATGAAAAAAGCAACAGATGGAATGATTTCCCAGGAATCTTTCATCAGCCTTTATAACATTGTGTGTCGTTTGATCACTCTGAACACAATCAGTCAGTGTTTCTCTGCGTGTTTACACTGGGATGCAGGGGAATCGGAGATGTCACCCATGTGCTGATGAGTGTAAACCATGAGCTCAGTATGATGATAACCTTTGTCTAAACTCCCCGTGAACTTTTGGCATTTATTATCAACGTCTTCATCAACACTGTCATCATCTGCCACAGGAGGCTAAATAATGGGAGTGCCTTTGTTTGGAAGCTGAAAAGCCAAACTTGCAGCCACTCAGTGGGGTTATTATTTGCTCCTAAGGAACCATGCAGCTGTGAAACCATCTGCTTAGAATGGAGCTGTTTGTCATAGAGGGCGATATTCCTGACCCAAAAAGCGGGATCCCACTTACTTCATCAAACGCTGATATGAAAATGTGAGATACTTCAGCTTTGACTCAGCGGTACCACATGGACGCTGCGTCTGACCCACAAGCTTCTGGAATCAGTTCATAGTTGATACAAAGTCACTTTCCAATTCATCCAGCTGTTTCAAAACAAATGATGTGTATCAGTGTAAAAGGTGATTAGATCAGTGTTCTGTCATCAAGCTGCACCACCCTTCACTGTTCCTTCATTCCTCTTTGCTTTCTAAGCATTTGGCCTGAAAAAAATGACCTTTTACCTTTATTGGAATATCATATTTTATAAAAGATTAAACCCAAATAAATAATTCTAGAATAAAAGCTAAAATATCTCACCAGTGAAATAACATTTACTTCTATTAGGTTTCTCTCTAAGCCTGATCATTGATGTGATAACAGTGGATTTTCGTGAACTGTATTCCAGCCTACAGCTGAGGAGCCATGTGAAGGAGAGACTGCAGCAGCTTGTGTTGCCTTTTCAACAAATTCAAATAAAAGAGCTCCACCTTTGGATTACTCATAAGTAATTCATGTGGAAGAAAAATTGTTTATACAGGACTTTAGTAATGGTGGGACTTTATTAATATTCTTAATAATTAATCACATTTTGATTGAAAACTAAATATTGACGAAATAAGCAACATTTTCAATCCAACATCCCTTTTTGTTGCTGAACTATTCCATAAAAGGATGTACAAGCTCAACAACAAAGATGCTTATTGTTATTTATCTGTTATTCGGGTCATTTAACCATCAGATTGATGCAAAGTGTGATTGTACCCATTCGGCTTTCAAGTGTTTCAGGAACCCCAAATTATTCATGGGACTGATTTGGGAAAATACAACTTTAGAAATGTGGGCTGTGGATGCTGACATTACTGCTGCTGCTACTTGTTGATTATTGAGATGCTACTTTATACTTGAACAGCGTCACTGACAGACTTCCTTCTTTTAGCACAACTTGAACACATTAGTCTGGACAAAGTTTGTGTGTCAGATTTACAGACATACCAGAAATGAGCTAAGTTTCCTGAATCTTAAAAATTAATAATAATAATAATCAACCCAAAATTCAGTGATGCTTCACGCCCTCTGTATCCCATGACCAAACAGATGCCACATAACCACACCCTCCCTCCATGAACACAAACGCCAACAATGAATATCAGTTGGTAATGTCAGGGTTACTCATCAATATGGTACTGATATGTTAAAAATGACAAACATCTATGTGTTCATGTTCACGATGTTCCTGCTGATAAGTTGTGTTTCAGTCGTCCTTAGTTGAGTGGTTGGTTTTATTTGAGCCTCATAATCCATAGTTTTGACTGAAGAAAAGAAAAGACATTGAAAGGAGTTCAGAATATGATGCAAAAACGTACCGAGACCTTATTGAGAAAAATCTGCTGCCACCTACCAGAAATATGATGATGAAACAAGTGTGAACATCATCAAGACAGTGAACCTAAACACAGAGCCAAGGGAACTCTTCAGAGGAAGAAAATACAGTTGCTAGGATGGCTCAGTCAATCACCCGACTTGAATCCAATTGAACATCTATGGGGAGAACTAAAATGAGAGTTTGTAGAAGAGGCCTACAGATCCTTCAAGATTTAGAGACGGTGTGGAGTAATGGGCTAAAATGAAACCTGAGCTATGCATGCTGTGCATTTCTTTATACAGGAGGCATTACCAACAAATGTTTTTGTACAATGTATTAAACATCAGTAAGTTTGTTCAGCAAAAACACATAAAAACAAGTTTTTATGTGTAAGTTATTATTACACATAACTTCATTCTTTTATTTTATTTGTTTTGGTTTCTTTCTATCCATGGATTACAGGGGTTCTTACCAACATCTGGTGAAAATTTTATGTCAATAGCACCTTTAGAAATTTTTTTACTTTGGCAAATTGGAATGTGTTTGATACTTATTTTACCTGTTGTGCATAGAAATCCCCACATTGTGAGGAAATGTGAATAATGAAATGCTAAGCTAACCAGGAGAATTGCAGTCTAAGAGATGTCCAGATCTTGGTCACCTTCCTTCTGGACTTGTGATGCTGTATCCACCTAAAATCTTTTTCCTGACTTTTTCCCCTTGCAGTCATGGACACACAACATAGCCAAGGAGAAGGAGTTCCTCCGCAAGCTGGTAAAGGCCAATGTTATCACAGATCTCACCAAAGGTATCTGAGTTTACACCCAACTCCAGCCGCCTTCCGCCATTTCTGTCGGAACAACGAACTGAAAGCTGGATTGACTCATGGAGCAGAGAACCGACTCCCCCTTCCCCCTTAAGCCAGGCCTGCTCACTGCCGGGGTAGAAGGGGTTAACTATCAAAGACGTTTCGAAGAGTTTTGTTGAAAGATGCACTCATGTGCCTTCAGAACCAAAGACCCCTGCTCATCAAAGCAGGGGCAGAGCAGGCTGCAGGAGGAATGGATCTGCCTGGCACCTGTTGAAGTATTGCTGTGCTGGGCCCATCATCACTATCAAGTATCACACCTGAAGAGGAATGATAACAGTGAGAGGACAGTTGAAGGAATGGAGCGAAACTGAATAACGTGTGGGGGATGGGTCGAGTATTAGCAGTGCCAAATGTACCTCGCAAAGGGGAGAAGACCCCCCTCTCCTGCTTTGTCTGAATGTATTCTGTCTGTAAATATCAAAGATTTGTACTGTGCTTTTTACCAAGCTGCAAATCTGCTGCCACCTACCAGAAATATGACAATGAAGTGAGTGTTCATCATCATAATCTCATCATAGATGATTCATTCACTCATCATCTATTCCTCTTTATCTGTGTTCAAGTGTAACTCCTTCCAAGCCCGACACACCACCTGCTGCGTAAAGCAGCACAATCATGAGAGCGCAGCTCTATGAAAGACGTAGTGAGAGGTATGGACTAGGGGTTGCACTGCTTCATATTTGTTAAAGCTGATATCAGCATGGTAAAACTTGAGTTGACATGGATCACTGACGTCATAGAAACGCAAGAGAAAATGCTTCACATTAGCTTACAGGCAGTCTGGGACACACAACATATCCGAGGAGAAGGAGTTCCATTTCAGGGATTTTGTCAATATTCACAGCAAATATTGACAAAACACCACATAGAGAGAAGCTGCACATAAAGGATGTTCCAACATGCAGACGTCCATGTTCAGACATCATAAGCTAAATCACACTTTCTAATGATTTTACAGTAGAAATCATTGCGCCCACCTGCTGCTCCTCCACCCCAGTGTGCAGCAGAATCTTCCAGTGATTCAGGGCAGCAGCTTTCTGACTTTGCAGGATGTACCGGCATATCGACAACAGCAGGGATAGACTGTCAGATCCTCAGAATGCAGCTTGAACCATGTCGCCAGATGTTTTCACAGTATTTTTTTAAGTGTAAAACCATTTTTTAAAAAGAAAAAACAAAAGGGGGAGAAAGCATGTGGCAAGGAACAGAGGCTGCCATGTGGGGCCTCTGTATACGGGGTGTCTACTCTAATCACAGCACCATGCGACGGCCCTATTCCGGCTAACCCTGTGGTAAATTAGTTTGGATTGTATTTTTATACAATTCAAACTATGACAATTTCACCTATTTCCTCATTTTGATTCTTCTTGGAAGTGTCAATTTTGTCAGATGATTGCGAATAGTGAACTAGCCACATAAAGGAACACGGCAGAAGAAGGAATCAACTAGTAGGTGCAACCCCTAGTTTTGACCTCATCACGCTGATGCACCATGACGGATATAGAAAGTGACAGACGGGAGCATTGAACAGTGTTATGATTGTTTTCCCACGTTTTTTTGCCAGCATAACAAAAAAAATTGTGGTTCTTCTTTTTCTAGTCAGGCTGATCACAATAAGTTTGGATTTCCTCCTAGTCAGTTTGTTATTATTGTGTGCAGTTCTCTGACCATAGTGAAACAACAACATGACTGTGATATTAGGTTACCAACAACGTTTTTTCACAAACTTTACAGGAGTTGCCATGTGGGTAGGTTATTTTGACGTCTGCCATGGCAGAATGTTATGCTTCTGAAGAGTGTGTCGTCACATGCAAAGGGTCAGTTATTCAAAGACAAAAGTTTGAAGACTGCAGTAAATTCATATCCATGTTTTTCATCTCTGAACTGAAGCAGAAACCTGAACATTTCTCACTCTCATGGACGAGTCTGTTCTTATTGGAAGAACCTTCCTGTTACAAATTCATTATTTAAAAGAATTCACTCTCTCTCCTCCAGAGCATTTAGCCAATATATCAATATCTACTTTTAGCCACATATCTGAAAGGTTAGACGCCATCGACATTCAATACTGAAGAGTTACGACTAAGCACTAAGGTAGGTCTTTGTTTAATGAAGAAACTGTTACAATATTTTTTATGATTTGATTCATATCTTCATCACTACATCAGCAGTAAGTGTTCCCAACTGACCTGCTCACCGATAAAGATGCATGTTTCAACTCCCATACTGCTGCAGGTTTTGTGTTCTTTCTTAAATGGTAAAATCTTGGGTTGTAGAAAATGAATAAATATCTGTTTTTTGTTGTTGTTGGGTTGATTTTGATTATTTATCTTGTTACCAAATCCCCTTTCCGTGGTCACAAACTGACCTGCTTCCTGTTACAAGCAAGTACTAGCAGCTTTGAGCTTGGGGAATCTCGATTCCTGACTGCGCTTCCTAAAGACACTTGGTGTGATCTGTTGGAGACACGGCGTTCTGGTGGAACGCATGTGTGTTCCAGGTCCGTTCCAGGTGTTTCGCTGCAGTAAAGAGAAAAATTGAAGGAATCTGAGGTTGATGGAGCTCAAGTTGACTCAGTACTGATCTGATATGTGCATTCTGGCAGGTTTTGCTACACCTCAGTATTTTAAAATAAACTATCCTGTAGTAATCAAACATATTTTTTTGTTTCCGCTGAACATCTACAATTGTTTGTGTGAATGCTTTAATCAGCTTACACAGCATGTCAGGACTGCTTTCACAAAGCAATCTGTCTGTTTTCAGGGTTCAGCTGGTGTTTGCTACATCGTTTACATCACTTCAGATTGTCTCCTCCATCTCTAAGCTCTTGCTGCGTCTGTTGTCTGTATATTTTGTTCAGTTCCATGCAGCAGTGTGTACTGTGGCGGTCAGCGGATGTCCTGGATTGGACTGTTTAGAACAAAGGTATCAACATCTGACCTTTGAACTGTCACAGTGCCATCATCAGGGACTGCAGCTGACTCAGTATGTGAGGCTTGAACAGGCATATCTGCAGCAGGTCTGTTGTTGAACTGGTGGTGTCTTTAGCTTGTATGTTACGAATTGAAGCTCTGCAAACAGGGTTTCTGTTTTGTGCCTTTTTATAGCTGGAAACGGGAGCAGGAGGAATGAGAACAGAGGTCAGAGCGCAGTCTCCTCAGGCTCCTGGGTATTGACTCTAATTGGACTAGGATCAGTCTGACATGTTCCCTAAAATCAAACAAACGTCCATCACTGTCTGCAAAGCTCTGACCTCTTAAGAGTTAGCTTTTCCCAATATCAAATTATGGAGGAGTTTATATAGATTGAATCTAAATCACCCCTCCACTGTACCCCAACCACTCATGGATTGTCTGTAATGAGGTGGAATGTATTTGCTTGATTTTTATTTTATTTTATTTTTTTTTTGATCATTATATTTATAAATCTTTATTTTTCAACATTGCAGCATAAGTGGAAAGTGACGAATCAAGTATTTCTCTTTTTGTACAGTTATACAGGTCTGTATAACAGCTTTAAACAATTCATTAAAAAAGTTCAAACACATGTCTGCATGTTTGTCTCTCTTTATGCTTCGCAAAATTATTCAGAAATCGTAAAGTACTCACATTTTGTCAGAAACCTTTAGGTATTAGTGGAATTTTAGGACATTTTCATATTTTGTCTTGTTTCGATTACAAACATCCATATGTTCTGATGTGAATGGATGTGATAGAGCAGCACAGTAGTGTATAGTTACAAAGTGGCTCTCAAAGTCTAAAGGGTAATGTTCATTTGTATTCAGTCCCACCGGGTCAGAAGCGTCTTTCACTGTAATTCCAGCTGTAAGACTTTTAAAATGTGTTTCTACTCACTTTGCACATCTAGAGACAGTATTTGCCAGGAAGATTTGACCACTGCTAAAGTTCAAGCTTCAGTTGAGTCTTCTTCCAGATCGTCAATTTGGATTTAGGTCCAAACGTTTTCTGCACTGTTTGGAGGGTCAGACAATGCAAAACAGTTATAGTGCCTAAAAAAAACAAAAAAAACAACAACAACATCCAGTCGTTTTCTGCCAATAAGTTAAATTTTTTTTTGGTACCTGGAAAAAAAAAAAAAAAACTGTTTGTCAAAAAGTTTCCAAAAACAATAAATCAGTGAGCTGCAGTAAAGAGCCCCTCACCTGGCAACGCAAGGGGAGTTCATTATAACGTCATTGTTTTGCAATGGCTGCTGGAAAAGGTTTGGTGTTTAGTTGTTGACTTACCATCCAGAACTGCTACAGAACTCAACAAATATAATGTAGAGTGAAAATCTTCTACAAAAGAACATTCACTTCAATATGTTACATTTATTCACATTTTCTGGTGCCCCTAAATAGAAAGTGCATGGCAATTATAGCAACCTTTATATTTTTGGCCATGTCCCTTCAACATGCACAAAAGTCAGAATTTTGATACATTTAGATCTCCAGCACCTTACAAGCAATCTGATCAATTTTTGAGCCCCCCAAAAAATCCAAACTTCTGTTAAGAGTTCAACCAAATAGAGGCTGTGAATGACCAAAATGTGTCAAAACTCTAAGTTCATCCATGGTGGATGACTACCTGTTTGTTGTAGATTGGGGGTGCAAGACTTTTTATGTTCTGGTAGGTCTTGGGAAGTTCTACAAGTGTATCAAGTGTCATATCTTTGTGATAAAGGGTGTTTGAAATGTTGCTGTGGGGCGCTCTTGAGGTATTTCTCTTTAAGTACTTACATTTTCTCCAGGTCTGACGTGTTTTACAACATCCGGTGAGTTTTCGTTTAGGCCTCCAAAAAACCAACTAATTTGTGGAAGGAATGATCAACACTGCAGTTGCAAAAGATCTTCATTATGCACCAAAAACCTCAGCTGTTTACCTTCCACTTTGCTCACTACTTTGTGTATGTGAACCACAAAGACAATAATGCCAAAAGCATGCATTAGTGCTTGTGGTTATGACACAAAGTGGAAAGGGTCAAAAATATTGGTTTGAACTTCTCCTGTGTTCTGGCTCCTTTCTGCCGTGTGTCATCAATCTGACTGCTTCAGGCTGTAACATCTTTTGCAGAGAGTGTGGCCTGTAGCTGGACAGCCTCATGGATCAGATATAAATTGTCTGTCAGTCTGTTTCAGAAGTGACAAACTGCAGGAAGCTCTGTCACGATGGAGCGATGGGTTGAGCAGCTCAGAGAAATCCAACCTGCACTGCTAGGAGAAATCATTTTGAAGTTCTACACAGACTCGGCTTCCATCTTCAGGTTCCTCACAAACATTCCTCCTCCTCATACTCTCTCTATGTGTTGTTGTCGATCTCTGTTTTTCTCAAGGCCGAGTGGCATCTTGTTTTACTGAAAGTCACAAGGAACACATCTGAGATTGTTTTACTCAATAAACAGAAGGGAACATCATTCTGCAGCCTTAAAACTTTCACCGGCTGCCGCATCATTAAAAACCAACCGAACTCTACAGAGAGAGAGGGCTGTCCAGCTGCAGACAACTGTTTTTGAGGTGAGTGGACAGGATGCAGAGGACTCCTAAACACCTCTGGACCGTCCCATCCTGCCGTTAATGGGGTGGCAGAAATGTTCAGCCCCAACAAAGTCACGCCTCACTGCTTTCTGCAACCACCACTGACCTGACAGATTTCCTGAGCTCCACAGGGTGGGATCGAATGCTCGCTCCCTGCAGCAGCAGAATATTTGCCACCTGGGATCTCCTCGAGGCAGCTGGCCAGGCCGGCTGGCTGGAGGCGCTCGGTCCTGTTAGTCTGGTAGACGGGGGTAGGAGTATGCCTGCACCTCCTCAGCCGGTGAGCCTGTTATTCTCTATGACAGGTTTCCCCCTCCTGCCCCACCTCTTCTCAGAAGGGCTGGAGCTGAGAGGCACGACCTCCTCGCCTGAAATTGAAACTGCTCATAAAAAGAGTTGGGAAGGGAAAAGAAAACACCCACCAAAAAAATCCAACAGACCTTATTATTTATCTTTGACTCCATTTACCTGTTTCTGGATCAGCTGAAATGGTCAGTTTACCTCCTTTACATGCAGCACAGCTACAGGCCCATCTTCTTTCTGCAGCAACTCAACCAAATGAATATTTATTACTTTAAAAAATGTTGATGTCTGTCTACCAAAGACAAACCCAAGTTTCAAAGCTGGCAGAATTATTTAATTAACAAAGGGCATTATTGTGTATTTTCCAGACATAGTTCACATCCTCTAACATGGCCTGCGTACAAAACTAGATTAATAAAAACATGGATGTGGAGGAACTTGACTGGTCTGCACACAATCCTGTCCTCTACTTGAATAAATACATTTATGGTTAATTGGAGGAAGCTGTTAGGTCCAACATCAGTGTCTGACCTCACAAATGTGCTTCTGGAAGAATGGCGAGAAATAAATTTCCATAAACACTTTAACTTGAATGGTATTTCCAGACAAGTTGAAGCTATCCAAAACGCCTGCGTGGACTGAGCTCCTCCTCTGAGCTGCAGTTTCCAAGCTTATGACTCACATAGCAGTCCACCATTACTCCTCCACCCAGCTCCTTCAGACTAGCCAGTAGCAATTAGCAAACACCCGGAGGAACTGCTCATCTGCTGAGCTCATTTGAGCTACTTCTCAGAGTGAAGCTGGTAAAAACCGCTGATAAAGCCTTAATAAAGGAGTTATATGAAGGCGGAGTTTCAGGAAGAGTAGGAGTTTTTAAAGAGATAGAAGCCCAATTTCAAAATGTTAAGTTACAAGTATAATAACTATGGTTTACCGTAATGAGAATTAAGTTATTCATGTGCTACCTCCGGTTGTACAACAACTTCAAGCTACACTCCACCATTACCATCCATGTTTACTTCTGCAAAAACTCACAGTTCTTCTACTTAATGGAGGTTACCATTAAGTAGAAGAACTGTAGCTGGACAGCCTCATGGATCAGATATAATCCATGAGCACACTCACTATGTGTGACATCACTGCGCCCTCTACTGCGCATGCGGAACACTTTTAGATTGTTTGCGGTTCACACAGGAGATCACGTACAAGTCACAAAATTTTTAAAATGTGAACAACCACGCAAAAAAAATTATTTTGGTGTGAACTTTGCCATAGTTACTTATTGTGCTATGAAAATGTGTGAAATACAAAATATTGCCCCTTTAAAGATTTCACATCACATCTGGAGGAGTAAAGTTTTTCTTTCTCCTTTCTGTCCTTCCTCCAGCATCACATGTCCACCCTGATCTCTGCTTGGACGGATCGGGCCGCCCAAGAGGCCCGAACCTGCTCCCTGTATCTATGGAAACCACCTTGCACATCCCAAGAGGTAAGAGAACATTTCGGAATGCAGAGTAAAGTTTCACTAGATGCACAGAGAAAACACAACAAGGCCAACAATCACGATTCCGAGTCCAATTCTTTATTCTTAAACGGAAATGAAACATTCCTCCCCGGCTGTTATGTTGCCGTCGCCTGCCAGAGAGACGGCCTGTTGTGGCTCCGTGTGTGTGTGTGTGTGTGTGTGTGTGTGTGTGTGTGTGTGTGCGTGTGCGTGTGTGTGTGCGTGTGCATGCGTGTCGGTTTCTCGCATGGGGTTAACTGAGGGTGTAGGAATAGTGTCACAGTGCAAATCCCTTTCAGAGAGCTGAACAAGTTCCTCAGCATGGCTCAGAGTGTTGCATGACGGCAGCACCCTTCACACCAACTCACACACTTCATCCATTGGTGCTTCCCAGAAATTCTGCCACCTGCTCTTTGAGGCAGATTATGAGGAGAGCTTCAACGATTTGAAATCCTTTATAAAAGAGAACTTTAAAGCTGGAGTATGTAATTTTTATAGAAAATATGTGGCAATTTCATTAAAACTGTCACAGTGTCATGGGATGAATAATCGGTGAAAAGATCAATCTCCTCCACCTCCTCTTTGAGCTACTATTGCCGCCTGAATGGTTGCACCAATCTTGAACAAAAGAGGAGGGTCTTAGCGCCGTCAATCAACCTTGTGTACTCACTGCTGAAAGCGCTTATGGCAGAGAAACAACTTACGGTAACAGAAAAACTGTTTATACACAGGCCCTGGTAGCTAGCCTTAGCATTTACAACACGCTCCGTCAGCTGCAGCGTAGCAAACAACAATGGAGGGGAGGGAGAGACGGGAATGAGCAGCCACACACAGGGTGAATTACAGCACTAAGACCCGCCTGATTGGTTGTTTTGGAGGAGCACTGTCATGGTGACAGTTTTAACAAACATGCAAAAGTTACATAATGCACCTTTAAACCTACATAAGTGTTTTGGTTTGAAATGTCTATAAATGAACCTTGAAGAGTTGATAGAGTGGTAGAATTGTCTGATCTTTGTAGGCTGTTTTTGCACTCATCCTCATTATCTAAGCGAACATTCCTGCATGTCAGCCACCTCAGCTGTGTGCATAGTTGCATTGTTGCTTGCTACTATTATTAGTGGCGTGGAAGAGAGCAGGGAACCTCCCTGCATTTGTCTGTGCCTCAGCACAGAGAGTGGGCCTGGAGCAGGCAGCTGAGAAGCTGTTTACCCAGCCTTTGTGCCTCCATGTTTGCCCAGCAGGGAGTGCCGGGGCTCAAAGGCCCTCGCATGTGGTCCGTCTGTGGGTGGGTGCTCAGAGAAGAGCGAGCAGAGACGCATGGGACGAGCTGTACAGGTGGCCGGTGTGTGACACTTTCCAGCTCCATTCATCCATCCTTCAGGATCCAGGGCAGGTGATGGGGTCAGAGGTCAAAATATCTGGTCTCAGTCCTTTACATAGATGAAAAGTATCAGGTATCAAGGTGCAGAAGCATTTTCTGGTGCAGCTGGCACTTTCTCTGTTCTTCAGCTTTCCAATAAATTAGAATATTTTTGAAAAGTCCCATTTCTTTCAGGAACTTTATCACCATGAGAAACACATTACACAGATTAATTAAACACAGATGGATGTTTGAAAGCCTTTATTTCTGTTAATTCTGATGATTTCCAGCTATTAAAAATTATATTTAAAATCATAATATTATATTACACCAATAAAACAAAAACATTTTAAGTACATAAATGTGGGTTTATTGAAAAGTATGTTTAATACCTTATTAAAGATTTTCAACTTTGCCCCTGCTGGGCAAAGTTGAAAATGAGGAGCTTTTTTTTAAAGAAATCAAATACAAATCTGAAAAGTGCAGCATGCATATGTAATAAATCCCACTGAGTCAATAATGTCTTGAACTGCTCTGTTTAGAATAAATCAGATTGAATAAAGTGCATCTGCAGACATAAGATTCCCAACTGGACTTTGATTAGACCATGCTAACACATGAACGTCATCGCCACTGTTTGGATTAAAACCAGTGTTCAAAGTTTATCTCCAAAAGCTTTTTTCTGACAGTCTTGATGTTTGTCAGCGCGTCAGAATCAAGCAGCTGGTTAGTGAAGCCATTTGGAGCCGAGGTGTTGAAACAGAATCACATTTAAAATATTCACCACACCGACCCTGGAGGAGGCAAGCTGGGAAGCCTCAGTGTCAGGCTTGTCCTGCTGGATGTTGAAACTCCGCCCCCATTTTAAGCCTTTAGTAGCTTCTAACAACTTTTCTTCCAGGACTGCGCTGCATTAAGTTCCATCCACTAACTCCCACCAGCTTCCCTTCATGCTTTAGCCTAAAGGCCAGAAAGTTGGAATTTGATCTCACCTGTTCAGATCACCTTCCTCCACATATTTGCTGTGCCTTCTACATGAGCTGTGGTTTTGGTAATCTGCAACAAGCAGGACTTTTTTCATGCTTTTTGGCCACATTTGCAGAACACATGACCAACAGTTTTGTTTTGTTGTGGCATTCTGAGTTGTGGATTTCTGCACGTCCTCTGCTGTTACCATGGGCCTCTTCTCTGATTCTCACTCAGTGAAGGTGAACATCCTTGTCTCGGTCTGAAGTGGCTCCATCCTATGCATGTCCAGATGATGGGTTGATCAAAGCTCTGTGAGGTGTTGGAAACCTGCTTTAAACTTCTCCAGAGCTGCACTGACCTGTCTGCTGGGTTTTTGGTTTGCATGATGCTGTTTGTTCTCAGATGTTCTCCACTAAATGGCTGGATTCAAGCTGAACACAGTGAAGTTAAATGTATTCAGCACATTTCAGCACCAAGGCAGTTCAAACACACCACAACACAAAGTCACAAAAAACATAATGCACTCATCAATTATGAATCAACCAATAAACATCACACTAGACAAATTTCATCAAGCAAATATACATCTAACATAATTAAGTGTCCAGTTATTGTTAATGACAGGAAACTCGAAGCAAAAACTCAGTGTTTCGACTGTTCTGTAGTTTTCTAGCGGTTTGTTTCAGATTTGTGGTGCATAGAAGCTGAATGCTGCTTCTTGTTTAGTGACTTATAAACGACCAACAGTGTTTTAAAGTCTATTTTCTCAGTGAAAGTCTTCAGAACCGGATGATCTGCTCTATCGTCCTGGTTTTAGTCAGAACACCAGCAGCAACGTTCTGGATCAGCTGCAGCTGGAGGATTGATTTTTGTTATGCAGACCTGAGAAGATATTGCTGCAATAATGGATGCAACTAAAGATAAATGATGAGTTTCTCTAGAGCTGGCTGAGACATTAGTCCTCTAATTCTGGAAATGTTCTTCAGGTGATAGAAGGCTGACTTTGTAACTGTCTTTATGTGGCTCTGAAGGTTCAGGTCAGAGTTCATCACTACACCCAGGGCTAAACTAACATGGGAGACTTGATTTGTTACTGATTGGGTGACTTTTGAAGTCACAGAGTTTCATTTGGGTAATAAGTATGCAACCGTTTCCTGGATTTATTGTAGAGAAGTGTAGCGCGGCTCCTTCTCGGAACTCCTCCTGAAGTGTGTTCCAAGTATCCAGAGCCTGCCATCCGTTTGGGGCCTTGAGTCTGTCAGGAGTCTAAACGAGCAGCTGAGAAAACAGTCAACAGATCCAGAGTGTTTAAAATTGATGCAGCAACGACCACCGTTCAGTCTGGAGGTTTGGACTCAGCCCTGGACAACACACACGAACGCGCGCGCGCGCGCGCAGACCCTTGGAATGTCCATCCCGTAACGCGCTCGTGCGTGCTGAAGCCAATCCAGATCGAAAGTATAAACAGTGAAGGACAGATGTCTGTTGGCAGTTTCTTGAACAGAAACGCTCCCTCACTGGTCCGTGTGACAGCTGCCCCCCACAGCCCTCCACCCACCGCCCCCACCCTCCCGCTCCCAGCAGCAGGAACAAAAAGACATCTGAGACATGTGGATGGGGAGGAAAATTGAGAGCACTTTGTGAGGCCGCCACCACGCTCCGGTTTCATAAGGTCTCTGTCTGTCAGGCGAGGCGCGCTGTTTTTACGCATCGCATCCATTCCTCTCTGTACCCGCGCCGAGCTCTGCTGGGGGAAGACAGAGCGGTGGAGCGGTCTGTGGATCCACTCCAGTTCAGAACTTTTTTTGGGGGGGTTAATTTATTCATTTGTTTAATTATAGATGCGTGTCTTTCTACGCGAGTTCTTGGAGATGCGAGAAAAGATCTGCGTAAAAGGCGCTATATGGGCAGAACTCGGAGAATATATTTTGCAACCTTTTCAACGTCCCAGCTCAGATCGTCACCTGACGCGTGAACAGGAGGAACGGCGGACTTCAGAGTGATCGTGGCACGGCGGCACTCCAGAAACCGATCCGAACCCTGCTCCAGAACCAACACGGGGGGCCATTATTAGCGCCGTGTTGTTATTTACTCATCAGGCTCTGTTAGAGGCAAGACCGAACAGGTCGCTGGAGGTAAAGAAAGAGGGAGCCTCGCCGGAAAAACTGGCTTCAGTTCATCAAGCGATGGTGAGACGTGAGTCACCGGAGCGGCACAAGTAGATTGGGGGTAAACATTTTTTTTCCTCTTCCGGCTGTTTGTCTGTCTGTCCTCCTGCCTCCATGTCCACCTCGCGCTCTGCTGGGTTGTTTACGCCGCTGCAAACAAACTCTGGAAAACTGAAGTTTATTGGATATAAACTTGGATAATCGTCCAAAATGCCCATCTCTGGGTTTCTAGTTCCTCCTGAAACGCAACGAGTGTTTGAGATAATTGACATAAAAAAGAGAGACGGTGAAAGTTTCACTAATGATATACAATTAGTTCCTCTGTGTTCACTATCTGCTCTGCTTGTCTCTCTTTCTTTCTCGAGGTGCTGAAACTCAACAGGCCAAAGAGGGAAAACTGCATTCTGGCCGCGCGCACCAAGGCGCAAGGAGGAGGCGCCTCTTCGGCTTCCTCGATGGATACTTCCAGCCCGCTTCTGCCTCACATGAGAAACGCTCTGCCGTGGACAGCAGCGAGCCGTGACGCCACGCTGTGAAAACATGACGCACCGCAGCGCGCGGAGAGGCGCAGCAGGCGCCAGCGGCTCTGTTCCTGCGCACCGGGAGCGGATTTCCCACGGGACAGCTGGTAAGGCTCTTTAAGGTCCGGGGACCACATCACGGAGCTGGTGAGCGGTGCGCTTTTTGTGTGCGCCGCAATTGTTGAGTGTAGATCTGTGAAAACACTGAGCCGACTGTTTGATGTTTGACTTCCTTTCACTTCGGCTCCTCTTGGCTGAAGCCGGGAAGCTTCCTGCACGCACCTGCCAGCTGCCCGGGACTCAGGAACACACTGACCTCCAGTCAGTCCGCTGTTAATGTGATGCATGCAGGTTTGTGCCAGAAAGAAGAGTTTACAAGGTGCGAGTGTGAGGGCTGTGAATTGTGGAAAAATATAAATCAAAGTCCGTGTGTGCGCGTGAGAGAGAGAGAGAAAAAGAGAGAGAGAGAGAGAGAGAGAGAGAGAGAGACAGAGAGTCTTGGAGAGTTTGTGTTCTGTGGTATGCTGCAAATCCATGAATCAAAGTGTTGCTAATACACACATAGGTGGGATCAGAGACAGATTAGGTGTTTTTAATGCTCTGGCTTTAGCTCACCAGGGGCAGGGATGCTGCCTGGGGATGTTTAGGATCATGTTGTCATTATCACACCCACCGGGCTCAGCTCCGGGTTCTGTCTGTCCAGATCACTCCAGATTTATCGTTTGGTAAAGGCTTTCGATGATGCCTCACTGAGTCACATACTTACAGATGAACTTTCATACTTGCTCCCTGACTCAGTGACCTGCTGACTCATTCGGTCATGAACATACAAACTGTCACTCAGACAGACACACGCAGAACGTGGCAGACCTCTCTCTTCTTTGTGTCTTAAAGCTGTAGCGCTTTTTGAAACATGGCTCTATCGTTTAATCTGCTTCACATTTTGTCTTGTTACAAACACAAAGTGTGGGAGACTGAGTGACACAGCATACATTCATAACTGTGAATCCAAAAAAAGAGGCGTTTTCAAAGTGAGTTTCTTTTCAATAGAAATCTGAATCGTGTGGAGGGCATTTTTCCAGCCCCCTTTAATTTGGTGTTGTGTAATGAGGTCCAGTGCAAATGACTCATTTCAGAAGTCAAATGATCATTGTTGAATAGAATAATCCTGTGTGCGATTTAGGTTCTGAACACACCGGATCCGTTTCGGTGTTCGATCCGACAGAAAATCAGGTCAGATGATGAGCAGCAAACAAAAAACGTTAAAGTTTTCTGGAGCCTGGCAGATTGCTCACGATTCCCTGCGACGGCACCAAGATACACCTCAGCTCCGCTTCGTTCAGAGAGACGCAGCAGTTTGACTGGAATGTCACGAGTGAAGTGAAGGAGAAACACATCCGCTTTGGGGGAGAATACCAACTAAAACTTTCTACTTTCACAAGAATGAAGTACACTTTTCCAGAAGTACAGAAAAAATGAAAAAATGAAAAGTGTTGTTGTTTGAGGTTAATAAGACGTAGCTGTCGATTTGAACTCAGGCTGGAACTAGAGAATTAGTCTGATTCTTAGGTGGGAGAATCTGCTGCCAGTACCAACTATCAGTCTGGCTAAGTGTCATGGTGATGGCAGCATCATGCTTGTCTTTAGCAGGGAATCTGCTCCATCCATCCTGCTTCGCTTCGTCTCTTCCGGTTTCTTACTCAGCAGGTTGGAAGAAAACCAGCCGGCAAATGAATGTTCTGCCTCCAATCTGACTGAGCCTGGGCAAAAAAAAAAACATCAAGTATTCAGCCTGTAGGTGTTCAGGGTTTCCCCCGGAACAGCTGCTGTTCAAAAAGTAAGAGACATGAAGTTTACTGGCAGAAAACATGTCTCAGTTCTCAAACTCTATTCACAACAGTTTTGGAAAATTATGCATCCTTTCTGTCCACTTCACAGTGATCCTTTACTTTGAGGAGATCCAATCACATTAGAAAATACTGAAGTTCTTAATTACAAGACAGAAAACAATCCAGGGGTCTGAATACTTCAGCATCAGCTGAGGCATGTCACACATTCTTCACTGAACGTCTGTGAAATGCAGGCCAGCCTGAAGTAAAAATACTGTTGTTTTCCTTGGTGCTGCAGTCTGCTGCAGTCTGTTCCCATGCTAAACAGGAGGACAAACTCCTGGCTTGGGGCATCTCACACCGGCCCGTCACGCCGCCGCAGCCTTTACTTCCTCCAATCAGAGGTCACAGGGTCAGCGGCCCCACCGAGGGTCAGGTACAGCAGGCTGGGCGTGTTCTCTTCACCAGCCGCCTGCTGATGTGTGGTCTGGTTTGTTTTAACTGGCATGTGGCTTTAGTTGAGCTAGCGGTGCTGTTATTTGCCGTTATGGGTTTAACTCTTTGTTGCTCAGTTGCAGGTCAGAGTCACACACATCGGCTGCAGAGATGAACTCTTCTTAAGAAGCAGCTGGCAGCTCTGTGGTTGTGATGAGGCTGTTTCTGGCATCCAGCCTGAACATTTTAATCCAAACGCTGAAGGATTCAGCCAACCGAAAAAGTGCTCCTAAACTTTGAGACACAGTTACAATTAATTCAGCCATTTCAGTCACAAAGAACAGACAATCGTGAACTGAAAGAGCTCAACTCATCAGAGTTATTACAGTGACTGCAAGCTGACTTCCTGAACAGACCGCCTGACTGTTGACATGATATTTACCAGGTGATTATTTCATAGTTTTTGCTTAAGTCTATTTTTAAAATCAGAATAAACAGATTTTTTTTTACATATATATAGAATTTTGCAGGTAGTAATAATAACACATTATATTTTAGCATCAGCTGACATTCAGATTTAACGCAACAAAACAGAAAATTACATTTTATTAAGAAACATTTAAAAATTGTCTTTAATAATGTTTTTTGACGCTCTATGTTTGTAATATTGCCTCTTCTCTGCCTCTACAAAAGAAATAATCTTTAGTTCTAAACAGAATCTGAAATTCCTGTCATCCAAATGTTTCCATCAAAGATAAACAATGATCATTTGGATGTTTTTATGTCAGAATACAAGGAATGGCAGATCAAAGTTAAAGCACTATAAACTGTACAATATGACTAATGTAGAGAAAAGAATAATTATACAGATCAAACTTTATGATGCAAAATCTATTGTATGGAGTTTTGGCCTTTTCTAGATTAATGTTTCTTCAAGTTTCAGAACATAGTTATTTTTACAAATATTTGTGTGATTTCAAGCTTTTTGAAGGCAGAGCTTATTATGTGTAGCTGAAAGCTGCTGATATGCATTAGCTTAGCTTCATTATGAACTGAGGACAACCTGAAATCATTTCTTCCATGTTTTGCATCTCCTGCTGCTGCCAGGATGGCAGAGATTCCAAGGTTCTGCATGAGGGAACATGAACACTTTCTTGTTCACAGTCATCAGTTGTGTAAATATTTTCCATGTTTGGTGGTTTCCATTCAGAACCAAGATCTTATTGTGCTTCCAGCTTTGTGGCTATTTTTGTTAATTAGTTTCCTACTGAGTGACAGACATGGTTTCAATTTGAACATGATGCTTTGACCTCGTTAACATGTAACTTCACGTAAAGTCTTTTGCACTGTAGCCCTGGTTGAAACATACTTTATGTGCAAATTTAGACAGTTTATCTCTCATCATAATAATATCTCTCATATAATTCATTCACACAACTAAAAATCTGCAAGTGGCACAAGTAATCAGACTTCCAAATGCAACAAAATCAAAATCAAAACTAGTTCGAGAGTTAAAAGGAAACAAATTATGCAAGGTATTATTAACTTAATCTACTGGTAGAAAAAACTGAAAGTACAAGATGTACAGTTTGATTTGACAGTACAATCCCTCATGGACATGATGACGATCAGTCAGGAATTCATATTTATTTTTAAAAAGGCAGTTTTTCAACAGGAATGATATTTTCCTACCATGAACTGTGGCGGTTTCTGTGTAAATTTGCACTTTTACACCAAATATATCCAGATTTTAGCCCAGCTGTCAGCAAAAATGATGCATGTGGTTTAAAAGATCATTTCAGCAGGTTTACACCACAGTTTACCTCACAATGCTCAATTATTTGGATATTAAACTTGTTAGCCATGAAGAACCTTTAAAGAGGACAAATCCCAGCAATGCTACATGGTTTGAAAACTGGATAATTAGCAAAACGGTTCTTGGTGTCCAAATGTATCCAGATTCATGATGTGTATGTTGAGTTCAACTGCAGGAACTGGGGGTGAAAATGGGATTCTTCCCAGAATAAAGCAAATAGTTGTGATCTGGATTATGATCTATTATAAAAACAATAATCACAAACCTCAAAAACTAATAAACGTTTTGTTACTTCTGTTTCAACTACATTTTTCACAGTTGATTCAAGGTCTGAACATTTATCATGCAATTTATCTTTAAAAAAATGTTGTTAAGAATTTTACGTATTGTAATGGCTATGAATTGCCTCTACTGAAACTTGAGTACTGACAGGATTATTACTTTACTTTTATTTCTACTGTCGGTTCCATCAGCAAAAAAAATCTATAAATTCAAAAATAGGATTAAATGCAGTTATGGTGTGATAAAAGCCCATTTCAAATTGGGATTTTTTTGTGTTTGTTGGGTTTTGACTGCAGTGGCATTTAGTACAATTTCCTTAAAAAAACAGCAAAACATTTTCCCTTTCATCTTTATTGCAATAAATATCAGAAATAATCATGAGTCCAAGACAGAATTGGTCAATTGTTCAATAGGTTTAAATAGATGATTGAATACAATGACTGTGTTCTGTTTGGTAGTAAAGTTACTCTGTTTAATATATCGTTGTACTGAAGTTAACTCTGAATCTGGATCAATTTGTTTTGAGCAGTTTTGTTTGTGACACTCTTACACTCCAACGATTATACGTTTATCATCCCTCGTCTTGGGATGAGGGATGTTTTTAGGGATGGTTTTAGGTATCGGTAAAAACATGTCAGTATCATTCTAATACTGAAGAGCTACTCTGAAGCTGACAATAAGGAAGAGGAGGTTAACAGTCAAACACATTGCCAGGACTGGGTGTGTCTGTAGCCCAGTCCTGGGC